CTTTTCATCCGTGCCTGCTCTTCTGCCTCCTGAACCCTCCACCACACATAGTCTGCCATCGTCACCCTCACCTCATGACAGGAGGGGCTCAGAGTAGATCTGCTGCTACTCCACATCTAGAGAAGCCAGTTCAGGTGGCACTGGCATCTGATTAGGATGTGATTAGGATGCCTCCCTGGTGAGGTTTCCTGGCACATCCAACTGGGAGGAGAACCAAGAGAAGACCCAGGACACGCTAGAGGGACTATGGTAGAAACCTCGCCTTGATGTCTTGGCCCCATCCTGGTTGCCTAGGAGATACGTCATCAGGAACCGCCAAGACATGTTCCAATGTTCATGTTCTACCGAGGCGTGTGTTCTCCGTTTGTTAGCCATTTAGCTAACTGAGCAAGGATACACGGGAGGTGTCTTGTAGCCTTGCCTTGGTCAAAAATTTCCCAGAATACACCGCTGTATTTTCAAAAGGATGGCGGATCAGAAGCCCGCAACTACGTACTTCGGGGGCAAATTTCAAGTTTAAAAGTAAGTCAACTAATTTAAAATGGTTATTTTTAGATCCAAAGAAATCATCTATGGCTGGTTAGTTGCTTAGTAGTTGCAGCTTCAGTGGCCAGCGTGTAGTAACTCACTTATATATTTAATTTAACAAATAAATACACAATTTAAAAAGTAAAAGCCTCATTATATATTTATACTGAAACGCATTCGTATAAAATATAACGTTATCTCCTGTGTCACGTGACGTTGATGCAAATCTGTCCCATTTAACCGTTTTCTTTGACCAAGGAATGACAGTGTCCTCGTAAGCAAGACGCCTGGCCTGCAAGACATCGCTTCGCAAGGCCAGTCGCCGTGACATTAAGAAACACCCTATGCCTCTCAGCTGGCTAGGGAACGCCTTTGGATTCCTCCAGAGGAGCTGGCCCAAGTAGCTGAGGAGAGGGAAGTCCGGGCCTCCCTGCTTTGACTGCTGCCCCTGTGTTCCAACCCTGCATAAGTGACTAATGATGGATGGATGGATGGATGGATGGATGGATGGATGGATGGAAGGAAAAAACTTTCTTTTGTTTTTGTTTCTTTCTTTGTTAAGTGGCAAAATAACAATTTTTATATTGGAGGATTTTTTTAACATTGCAATAATCCACTTCCTGGGGCACATTTGGACTAGCCAATAGCTCGAAAACCAAATAAAACACACAAACTAAGTAAGTAATAAATTGTTCCAAAGGGGTTTGAATGAAAGCAACTGGACTTGTTTGGTTTCAGTTGCCTTCATTCGAACTCCTTGGATTACCATGACCTGGATGACTAAAAACCTTCACCAGAATAATTAATTGTTCACAACCTCTTCACAAAACTGATCTATAGGCCTCTTAAAATCTTTTGCATACACATCTGTTTGTTGAATCATTTACTAGTCAGCTGTACCTGTTTGACTGACACTAATATTTTAGAGTTTTATTTAATCTATAAGCTATTTTAACGCTTTGTCTATGCAAACATCCTTTTGCTCAAAAGCAACTTTTCCAAGTGTTTTGAATGATATGGTAACTATTTGGAGTAATGAACAGTGTTTCTTGATTGTCGGCCATTTAGAGTGACTAGAGATCACCCAGCATTAAACTTCACAATAACATCACAATTAGATTTTCAGTTAACTTGGATTGCAATAAAGCGTAAATGAAAAGAAAATGTATTGCATGTTCAAACTAGAGGCTGGATGGTAGATGCCATGACACCTTGCTGTCTTGGAGTATTACCAGCTAAATAAAAAAAACTTTGGCGTTTTCCTTTTAAAGCTTAGAGAAGCAGCAAAAGTTTACATGAAGAAATACTTCAGCTAACATAAAAAAACAAAACAGCCAAGTCGCATGAAGTCAGAGAATGCAATGGAGTTCAACTTGGATGTTTAAATTACAGTCATGTTACTATTCGTGTAGTTCTTGTCCTTCCTATTTTTGATTTAGGGCAATAAACTGTATCTAAACGAAACGTTCAGCTCTGATTTTCCAATACCAGCCGGATTAAGGGAACTCCTCTGGTTGCTATGGTGATCTACGCAATTAACAAAAGTCTTACAGTCTAATAAATCAATTTACTCATTTCTCATTAATGCAACATGAGGCTCGTTTAGTAGAATTTGGTCCCATTTAAGAGGGAAACAGGCAGAGTATCACTTAAGGCTCAGAGCTGTCCAGACCCATGGTCCTCCTGTCATGTCTTAGTCCGAAAGATCAAGAAGATGAGAAAGAAAAGGCATTATGATACTATTATGCCTTAAAATATTTTTTTTTACTTGTGTGGTTTATTTCTGAAGCATGAGGTTGTTATCCGACCACATCGGCTAAGAATAAATCATTTAGAAAGAGTCGGTTAATGTTGAAAACCTTTTTTTTTAAGAAAAATTCACTGAAAGGTAAAACAGAAGAATGAATTACAACAAATCTAATACGTGATAATAAAGTGCGACTTTTTTGGTCTGAATGGAGCAGATTTAAGATGCTGGACGAAGGGAAAGGTTCATCAGGAACTGGGAGGTCACCTCTGCAGTTAGCATCAGCTGCAAGAAACGCCTCCAGACACTGCATTCTGCACCAGCTGACCCCAAAACCCCCCTTCAACAAAACTGCTCCAACTGTCAGTTGAAAGACCGCCATCATCAATCACTCAACAAGATATTTTTCTCCCCGTAGGCCAACAGGCACCTTTGCTGCGTGAACGTGCGCTCGAATGAATGGAGAGTGTTTTACTGAGCTGATTGTAGGTAATTAAGGTTAATAAGTAAAACACATTGTCTCAGCTTAATCAGCACTGAACACGAAGTAGGCCTCGTGCAAGTGGCAATGATTTTGCTTTTGCTTCAGTTGTTGGAATTAATTGGAGGATCCCACCGTAAGTCATTGATTCTCTCTTGTGGACACATCAAGTGTTCCCTTGGCTCCTGGTTCATCTTACTGCTTTGAATGCAACTCAGTGTGGCACAGGCAGCAGAAAAGTGTTTAAATCTGGTTTACCACCATTAAAGAGGTAAATAGTTACATCAGGGACAGTAAACTCCATCGGTCAGACCGATGCCTCCATGTTAAACACAGTGAGTCACTTTTGTATGTTTAATTCAATTCAAATTCAAAGATACTTTATTAATCCCAGAGGGCAATTAGAGGTGTTTGTGCAACACCAGGGGCCAGATCACTGACCATAACCCGACCACATAAATCAGATTCACCATCATCATTCAGACCCAGCCCACGCTGCTGACAGCCAGGTGTGTGGCTGCAAACCGCAACCAGAAAAAATGTCTGAATGGATTTTTATCAGCAGACTGACTCGTTGTGTGAAGGTGTTCGTCCAAGTACTGGAGAACAAAGACTAAGGTTTGAACACACATTAAAGTGTGTGTTCCTCTTTATGAGAGTGAATAATGAACAACAAAAAATCTAATGTACAATTGATGCTATCAGGTTCACACCCTGAGGTCGACTTAAAATAACCCTGAAAGGGCAAAGGTCACATTAGTCACTTCTGTAATGACCTCCACCCACAGACAGAGTGATGTTTAGGCATGTGTGTGTGTGTGTGTGTGTGTGTGTGTGTGTGTGTGTGTGTGTGTGTGTGTGTGTGTGTGTGTGTGTGTGTGTGTGTGTGTGTGTGTGTGTGTGTGTGTGTGTGTGTGTGTGTACATTCACCTTGGAAATTGGTTGCGGGAGGGGAAGTTGAATTGTCAATTGTTGTATACTTGGGGAGGGAGGCTGGGATGTGAATATGGGATCTACGGGGCCATTTTAATCTGTGAAGCACTTTGAGTTGCATTTTTTTGTATGAAAAGTGCTAAATAAATAAAGTTGATTTGATTTGATTTAGAGTTCCGTTAATAAAGTGAACCTTATCTCCTCGCTGTGCGCGTTCGTCATTTTAACACCTTAATCTAACAGTTGAAATGTCTCCTCAGCCTTTATTACTGTCTACAGGAGCAGTTCATCACTAAATCAAACAAATCAGCTGTGGTCATGATCTAAAACATGCATGAAACATGCTGGAAGCAGACTTCAGCACTAGCAGGGCGCCTCCAAAAGTCCAACAGGAGTTGGCCTGCTACTCTTAAGTTGAAAGTGTGGTACTCTTGCTACAGAGGGTGGTGGGGTCTCAGTGACATTTCACTAGCCCTGTAAAAGGTAATTTTAGCACGCACTGACTCAAGAAAATCATTTTAAAATATGAAAAAGTTGCATAGCTTTCATCCCCTTTTTAAAACAAATTTCTCAAAGCCTCATTTATATAGTAAAGGCTTGCCTAGAGGATAACAGGACGTAACACAAATACTTTTCTTCGTTCTCATGTTCTCAGAAAGAGCAGGTGGAGGCAACAAGGTGGAGTTTGCCAAGCCACCTGCCATCTGAAATGCTCAGGTGATCCACAAAAACCCAGGGGGTGTCTAAAGGACCAACTTTCAATTACAAACTGCAGAGAATTAGTTTCATTTTCTGCTCATATTATCATGAAGCTTAAACTGATGCACACTTGACTTAAAGTCCCCCACAGTCTGGGTCCAGAGCAGCTCCAGGCGCTGCTGTAGCATCCCTTGTGCAGCTGAGTCTGTTCCACATTACCCAGCTGCAGAGGTTAAATATCCTGCAAGCTGATCGCTACAGCAGGATGGCAGAACAAGTCTTGACACATATGGGTCTATATACATGTCTACCAAATGTGCAGCGGGCTCAGTTCAAAGCATGACCTGGCATGACTAAATCAATTCTAACAGGGGAGCATTTTGTGGTATTTTTGCATGAAAAATGCATTTTCTTGGAGAAAAGCTGAAAGTGTTCCAGAGTTCATCTGCATGGTGGTTGTGTTTGAGATTACAGGAATAAAAGTAAAACTTGGTGGATCAGAAACAAATGAGAGTATAGGAAAATATCTGAAAGAACCAATTTAACTATTTCAATTTAGGAAAAGTGAAGATAAACATAAAAATAAATTAAAGGTGGATATTTCAGCCTCACCTGCTCTTGAAACGTAGAAGAAAGTGACCAGCAGCAGCAGCTGGATCCGTGAGACGCGTACTATCCTCCATTGATTCATCATGCTGCATTGAAAGATAATATTATTATGACCACCACTATCTCTGCGCGACGCGTGCGGTTAGAAGTGCGTCTGTGCGCCAACTGCTGGCAACTGGTAAATTAGCAAAGCTTTCTGATGAATTTCAACTCTCGTTGACTTCTCTCCTGTTTGACCTCCAATGGACGGATGGAGACGGCCATGCAGCGGTAAAATGACATACAATAATAAATAAATAAAAGTCCGATGTAGAAAAGGTGTCTTCTCTGTCACATACAGAGAACTTTCCTCACTTTCTCTTCCCTACCTCCCACCTCCTCTTCAGGACCACCCCTCCCTCCCCAGCTGCCTCCTCGGACTGGAGGGGCTGAGCTGAACCGGAGCTAATTACCGCGCGTGTCACTTGTAACACAATTTTGTGATTTATGCGTCGCGCGCGCTGCACGGACGGACACAAACGTGAGTTTGGCGCTGCATTCAGATGCTTTTGGTGCACCTTTAAAATCTTGCAGCCTTTTAAAAGAGCTGATTTAAGACATCTAGCAGGTACAGCGAGACGCAAGTGCCACCTTATCGCTTTCGTGTTTAAAGAGGCACGCGCACTGGCGTGAGCGCGCGCCCAGCGTGCTAGGACAGGACAACGGTGCTGCCCAACTAATAAAAATATGCTGCTGCAGATTCCAAATTCCAGTGCCTGCCTGTCTCTGCCCACCCCACGCTCTCTTCAAGCAGCACCGCGTTTCTGAACGTGCTCGGGAAAAGGGTTGACTTGTTTTGATGGTTACCAAGGTAGAAAGGAAAGGTCAAGGGTCACCACAAGCTCATGAGCTTTTATATTGGTTTTGTTTGTTGTTTTGTGAAAGAAGATTAAACATTTTGTTTAAATCTAAAATGTAACCCATGTTTTAAAATAACTCATTAAAATATGCACGTAAAAAGTCGACACGTTCATTCGTTGGTTCAATGGTTGGAGCATTTTAGCAGAAATAGAAAACTTTTGTCTATTTTAAGATACTAAAATATCAGCTTGTAAAACAGCAAAAGAACAAATGTTTTGTTTTTAGAAAGAAGCAAAGATAAATGAGCTCACGTTTGGAGGCCTTTGGCTTCTTTACCAGGTGTGTTGTACCTTACAAGATCAAACATAAAGATAAGTTTAATGTGGTGAATAATGATTATTACAGGTCTGTGCTTTCACAAAAACACTGTTTTGGTTGTAAAAATGTCGAAGAAAGAAAATTCCAGGCATGTTTCCAAAGTCTTTTCCTCGTGCTTCAGGTGGGCCAGAGTTAAACGTAAAAGTGCCAGCTGTAATCAAACGTGCGGATGTTTTTGTTTGCAAAAATAAGAGAAAATAATACATTTATTTGGCTTAATGAAGATGATAGATAATTTGAAATCATATATAATTGTATCTAAACCTTGGATTTCTAACCACTTTATCACATTCATCTTTTAACAATAATACATATGGCCACTAGATGTCGCCAAATCTCTCGACGAAGGACCATGATGTTAACGGATTTCAACATTTTCTCTTTCTAAAATTATGTGAATCAGTTTGTTTTACGCTGGATTTTTCACATTTGTCTACAACCAATTTGTACAGCATGAAAATAGCCCACTATCTGTATTTTCATCCCTAAAATGCTTGCCAGTAGGAGTGAACAAGTCGGTAGATAAGCCCCGAGAGGCGCTCTGTCCATGTGACTCCCTCTCTTTGTGTTATCCTCTTACTTTGGCTCTTCTGTCAGATTGTCGTACAAAGCTATTTGTTTGCTGGTCTCACAATCTGGCAGCAGATTGGAGAGAAGCAGAGGAGCCATGGTGAGTCCGGAGCAGAAAGTGGTGCTGATCACCGGATGCTCCTCTGGCATCGGCCTGAGGATGGCTGTGATGCTGGCCAAGGATGAAAGGAAGCGCTATCATGGTAAGTGTCTGGAAAGAGAGAAAAAAACAATTGACCTGAATGTTTCTGTTGTTTTATGGAGGAATTTACTTCTATAATCATAATCAAATACTTTTGAAGTGATGGCACTTTTCACCTGCCATCCTTTTCTCCATCTGTAAAACAAGATCATGAATGAATGAATGAAAATATGAATGAATGAGGTTCAATGTCACTATATAGTGAGACTTTACAGTGAAACTGTGAGTACTTCACCTATGAGGTGAATAATCCTTGATCCCACATGACCTACTCAAATGTACATCACTTGTCTCCTCTGTTGTTTTTGCACAATGAGCAAATCAGACAGCCAATCCTGGCCATAGAGGACGGTGATTGGCCCAAGAATCTGCCTTTGTTGACAAACTTACAGACTGAAGCTGACCATCTCAAAATAGCCTTAAAGAGCACTTACACATACTCTTGTTGTGAACAAAAATGCACCAATCTACATTATTTTTGCACTGTTGTCTCATAGCAGCACAATAATCATGTTTTTGTACAAAATTGTGTAGGGTTTTTAAAAGTTACGATGGTTATTTGTTCAGTCACGGAACAAATATGTTTACGCCAGTTTACCAAGAGACTTAAGACACAAACTGGAACATTTTTAGATGAGGTTAGTTTTCCTTTAACCTCTGCTTAGGATTAATTGAGCTCAGAGCTTTGTATGTTTACTATCATCTAAAATCTGACTGTAAATTAAAAGGGTCCAGTGTTAGGACAACATCCCGCCTCACTGAACCTTTATTTAGCCACATTTGATCCCAACATTTCCCTTGGAGTCTACAAATTCCAGGGATTGGCTAAAAAGAGGGAGCAGAGCCAGGCATGGGCCAATTATAGCCTGGCTGATGGCGAATCACAAGTTAGTCGGATGGTTGATGTGAGGTGAGCCTTTTGTCTAATGAGAGGGAAAAGCTGCTTATCTACATAAGGAGCTTCTTGAGGCTTAACCAATTGTCTTTATTTTCTTACCCAGAAAGTAACCTTAAAAAATAAACTGGGTTAATTTTATTTTTGCGCTTCCTTCTGAGTTGTTGACCAATAATTTTTCTAATTTTTATGCACAAATTAAAATTGTTTACCTTACCAGTCAGAGGTTTTTCTTTAAAGCCTGTCAACGTGTCCGAACCATGTCCAACACACCCGTTTGTTTAAGAAAACGCATTACGCGTGTGCATGAGTGTGTTTTGTGTCAGCCAACACAGTCTGGAAGAGTGAACCTAGTCTGACACTGAGTGTGTAACCTCATTTACCTGGGCTGGGTGCCTAATGAATTATTTACAGCAGCACCCTAAAGGGGTGTAGAGCTGCAGGTAAATCCTTTCATAACTAGGAAGCTGTGTGTGGACAAAGAGAGAGGGTGGTTGTGTTAAGAAGAGAGAAAGACCTGCACACAGAATATAAGAAACAAATTTGAATGGAATTTAAACTCACTCACAGATTTGCCACTTCATTTTTCTGTCTTTGAAGCTTTATAAGATAGGACTAAGCTGTGGAGTTGTTGGTTTATTATTTGCAAACTAAATTTACTACAATTTAAAGCTGTAGAACACTCATTTAAATGGATACTTCGCAGTTTTGGCTTGCTTTAAGCACCTCCTAGTGTCCGTAAGTCAATGCAAACATAAAACTTTTCTCCTCACTGTGCTTTCATCAGTTTTGACATCTTAAACTAACAGCTGAAATGTCTCCTCAGCCTTCATCAGGGTCTGCTGGAGCGGTTCATCACTAAAAGAAACAAATAAGCTGTGTTCACGATCTAAAAGATTCAGGAAACGTGCTGGAAGCAGACTGCAGTGCTAGGTATTTCAGGGACTGGACTGGCACTGTTAAGCTGCAAGTGCGGTGTTCTGGTTACAGGGGGGGGGGGGTCGCAGTACCATTTCATTAAACCAGTAAAGGGTAATTTTAGCACTTACTGGCTCAAGAAAATTATTTAAAGTATAGTTTTAATGAAAAAATGTGCAGAGGTCTCTAGTAGGAATGAATACCTTTTAAGTTAGGCTGGTTTAAATCCTACCTGTCTGACAGATTTCATTTTGTAAATGTACATGACAAATCGTCTTCATACTCCAGGGTTACTTGTGGAGTACCACAGGGTTCAGTGCTTGGACCAATTCGTTTTACTATATATATGCTCCCAATTGGTAAAATCATTAGACAGCATGGGATAAACTTCCACTGTTATGCTGACGATACTCAGTTATATTTATCCATTAACCCTGATGAACTTAATCGGTTGGGTAGATTACAGGCTTGTCTTGAGAACATACAAAAATTGGATGACTCAAAACTTTTTGCTTTTAAATCAAGACAAGACGGAAGTTCTCATCTTTGGACCAGATATCCAGAAAAGGAAATTGCTTAGTCAATCGCCTGACCTTAATGGCATTACATTTATCTCCGAGAACAAAGTAAGAAACCTTGGTGTTTTCTTTGACCAGGACATGTCATTCAAATCCCAGGTTAAACAGGTTTGTAGGATTTCCTTTTTCCACCTTCGGAATATTGCTAAGATTAGATGCATCCTTTCCAGGAGTGATGCTGAAAAACTAGTTCATGCATTTATTACATCAAGACTGGATTACTGTAATTCATTACTCTCAGGAAGTCCACAGAATGTAGTTAAAAGTCTTCAGCTTGTCCAAAATGCTGCAGCTAGAGTTCTGATGAGAATTAAAAAGAGAGATCATATCTCTCCTGTCTTAGCTTCCCTACATTGGCTACCTGTTGAATTCAGAATAGATTTTAAGATCCTTCTTCTCACATAGAAAGCTCTTAATAATCAAGCTCCATCATACATCAGTGATCTGATTGTTCCATACGTTCCTAACCGAGCACTTCACTATCAGACTGCAGGTCTACTGGTGGCTCCCAGAATATCTAAAATTAGGATGGGAGGCAGATCTTTTAGTTATCAGGCTCCTCTCCTGTGGAACCAGCTCCCAGCTTTAGTCCGTGAGGCAGACACCTTGTCTACTTTTAAGACTAGGCTTAAAACATTTTTATTTGATAGGGCCTATGGCTAAAATCTGATGTTAGCCTAAATCTGGAGAAGTGGGGGAGCAGAGGGAGGTGGAGTGTACAGTCGGTAAAGACGGCTCTCCCTTGCCCTGCCTCCAACATGCCTCCATCTAAATAGGAAAGATTATCCAGATTTTTCTCTGTAGTTATGCTGCTATAGGCTTAGAGTACTGGAGGATACACTGACCACTTTTCACACTCTACTACTTTCTTCTACAATCTGCTCTTTAACTGTATTATTTTCTGCAATTTCAGCTGTTAACTTTATTTTCTCTAGGTGTTTTTCTCCCCAGAAGAACCTACAATGATGTTCTGCTGAGCTGTGGTGGCCTCATGGAGGGGGCTATCGTCTAGCACACTGCTGCTAACCACTTAAACATTCTCTCTCTCCTGATAATAACTTTTTGCTTTCCTTGACGTTGGATGTGCTACTGCTAGTTTACCCGTTTAATTATAGATCCACTAGGATAAATACAATAAAGTTTATCTATCACCAAATAGAATATTTACTACGACATCACAATATAACTATAGACACAGTACTTTGTCTTTGTGTGACACTAGTCAGTGACTTGATGCAATTTGCTGAGTTCCTTATATAGGAAACATTATTTCTGATTGGCTTAATGAACTGACCTGAATTGGAATGTTTATTTGAAGTGCCCTGAGACGACTCTTGTCGTGATTTGGTGCTATATAAATAAACTTGAATTGAATTGAAGTTGTACTTTAGGGAAAAAAAAGCTCCGGTGCACCTGCTTCAGGAATTAGAGCATTGCCACATTAGAGCTGAACTTCAGACAGCAAGATCTGGAGTCTTATTTCCTGATATTCTGACATCTCACCTCTGATTGGATAAAAACAGCTGACCATTTCTCCTCTCCTCAGTAATAGCCACGATGCGTGACCTGAAACGTAAAGATAAGCTGGTGCAAGCTGCCGGAGATGCTTATGGGAAAACTCTTTCTCTTGCCGTCCTGGATGTCTGCAGTGACGAATCGGTCAAACAGTGTATAGATGGCATCAAAGATCGACACGTGGACGTCCTTAGTGAGTCAAGCGAAAACCCTTTTTTCCACCAAAACATCTCAAATGTAAGTTAATAACACTTCCTTGCCTGTTTCCCTCATCCTGACCAGTCAATAACGCCGGCATCGGTCTGGTGGGTCCGATAGAGAGCATCCCCATTGAAGAGATGAAGAAAGTTTTTGAGACCAATTTCTTTGGTGTTATCCGCATGATTAAAGAGGTGATGCCTGGTATGAAGAAAAGGAGAGGAGGACACATCATCGTGGTCAGCAGTGTGATGGGACTCCAAGGTGAGCTGGAGTGAATAGATGGATGGGCATGTCAAAGACAAATAACAGGTTTGTCAACTCAACTGTTACGGATGAGTGGATGATGGACAAATGGAACAACTGACGGATTAATATGCTAACGTAGTAGCTAAAAGTACATCTAAGTACCTCTACAGACAGAAATTTTGTTTTTCTTCAGCTGTGGTGTTTAACGAAATCTACTCTGCATCTAAGTTTGCCATGGAGGGCTTTTGCGAGGGTTTGGCTGTGCAGCTTATAGCGTTTAACGTCATGTGAGTCTCAATGAAACCAATCTAGATCACTCATTTTTCGTTTGTTTTTCAAACTGACCTGAACTTAGTGATGATCTGATGAATGAAAACAGAAATGTTACCACAGCGTATGGTTACATTTTAGTTGCGTCTCTACACAGAGTGTCAATGATTGAACCAGGACCGGTGCACACAGAATTTGAGTTAAAGACGATCCGGGATGTGAGAGAGAAGGAGTATCCTGGAGCTGATCCTGACACCATAAATTACTTCAAGAATGTCTATCTTCCTGGTGCTGTGAACATCTTTGAGGCGTTCGGACAAAAGCCCGATGACATAGCGAAAGTAAGGTCTCGTGCAGACTTTGTTCTTTGCATCTGATTAAACCTTCAGACGTAACGTCTGTGTTTGTTCACACCCTTTTATTGCAGTGTGTCAAGAAAGTGGTTGAATCCAGCAGTCCACGTTTCCGTAATCTAACCAATCCGATGTACACGCCCATCATTGCACTGAAGTACGCTGATGAAACCGGAACCCTGTCTGTTCACGCCTTCTACCACATGCTGTTCAACATGGGCCCTCTGATGCAGGTCTGCGTGACTGCCATGAAGTTCCTCTCCTGTGGATTTCTGAGGAGAAGGACGATTTCGCCAGACTAAAAAGCTAACTGTTTCACATCGATGTGTCAATAATAAAGCATATGTGACTATGTGCAATACCCAGAAGACAAATCAGAGCTGTTGTGAGAAAATAAAATCATTTACATGACTAATTTTAACATGTTATAAATGGATAGATAGATTTAAATGTGTGTGCATGCGTGCATGCATGTGTGTGTGATACATGAGCTCTAAGCCCATTTTACACCATGAATCACTTGTGTGACATAGAAAGAGATTTGTTGATTGCATACTAAAAAAACAACAACCGTATTCCTTACTGTAACAGTTTTTATTTTATAGTATGTAAACTTTTGCTGAACATGCATGTCTCGGGTGTCCCCACATTTCCCATCTTTATCTGACACATTGAAAACAATAAAATTGTGTTTTGCAACATGTTTTTGTTATGATAATATAACTAACATCATAAATGCATTTTAGAAATAAACGACTTTGACCATTGTACATCTTTTGGACCATATTATTCAGAATACTTTTAATGTCCTGATCAATTTATGTGTTCAGAAATTTTATTCAAATGTATGAAATAAAACTGTCTGAGATTATTGTAGTTGTTATTAATATGAGACAAGTGTAGGATGGTGACTTGAAAGCTGAAAAATAGAAAAACATTTTTTTGTTTGTTTTGCTTTGTTTTGTTTTAGTCTCTTATGTCCAGAAACATAGCGCTGCCAACCACACAAAATACAGTTGGAGCTGTGTCACTTTTAATTGTTACTAATAAATATTTTTCACATTTTAACAACATAATACCATGTTCTGACAATATACATATTTATCATATTTGTACAAACGTGATATTATATGATGCTGACATCTCCCTGGTGCTGAAGCAGGAGCTATCATCTGTTTACAGCTCGCTTGCCCTCTTGCGGCCACAGGGTGAAACTACACCACTGTAGACTTCCACAGACTACTATCAAAAGGTAATATCAAATATATTTGGTTACAACATTTAACCAACGTAGGTTTGTACTTTATAATCAGCCTTCTCAGATGCAATTCATTTGTTTGTTTGTTTTTGTCTAAATAAACGTTTACTTTAATTACCTGTGATCAGTCATTGTATTTGATTGATATCCACGTAATCTGTCTATAAGGATGTTTTATGTATTATTTATGTCAACTAAATTGAAACATTATCAATATTTTGTGTCTGGCTTTCATGAGCAAGGGTTTTTACCAACATTTACATGATGCGTACGTTGAAGTGGTTTTAGCCCCGCTAATGTAAGGGGGTGTTAGTTGATGATGTGTTAAACCATCCTTTCCCAAAACAAACTGTTTTCCATTGCCTTTACAAATAAATAAATAAATAAATAAAAATATTCACATAGGAAAGCATAAAGTAGGCATCCCAAACAGTTTGTGTTCAACAAGGTAAATGTGGTTTTGAATTTTAGGACCGCTTTAATAGGATAAAAGAGAAGAGGTAACTACGTTAATATATTTTAGTGGAAACTTTTACTAATTCTTTCAAAATAAAATGCAGTGCTGGTGGTGTTAGCAATGGGGGAATTCACTCTACTTATTTTTCTTTAAATTAGCTAAAACACAATTTAAAAAAAATATGTAACAGTATGGCTGCGTGGAGTCAAGGCGCCAAACCCAGCTTGCTGCAATTTCAATGTGCTTTTATGAATGAGGAGAGCTATTCACACCCCCTAAAGACGACGAGTCGAAACTACAATTTAGTGGACGAGAATATTTGGAGTTGCCGCCCTCTAGTGGCGTCTAACAGAAACTACAGTTAGAAGAGAAGGGGTGATGGTGCCCTCCAGAAAAGAAGCTGGAACTACACTTTAGTTCTTTCAAACAATTTAAAAGAAAAAATAGCCTCTACCGGTATGCTTTGACTTTACACATTTTAAGACATGTGCTTTCACTGTTCTGAAGTGAAAATATATGTAAAATGTAAGCATCAAGCATGACTGGGCTATCTGAGTTCTACTACTGATGTCTGTTTGAGTAGCGGGAAATTAGAACTAAATCGATACCCGAATGATCGAACTGTAAACCAAACTTTGATGGACTCGCTGCTGTAAATTGTCTCTAAACTTTAACATGGAGTAAAAGGCAAGTTTTACTTTAATATACATTTTTACAGACATGGTTAATTTATACAGCGGGTTGCTGAAATATGTATTTGCTGCAAAGGTTACGTTCGAACCGTGAGTTCATTCATCGTTAGCCATTACCTTTAAATGTTTTATGCTAGCGTGATAATAAACATAAGGGAAGTACTGATTTAAGCTAACACAGACATGTGGAAGGTAATTATAGGTGTGGGTGCCTTGACAGGATGGATATGAATGCAGGTGATTCTCTGAACAGCGTGGAGCTGCTGAAGAACACATTACACTGTGATGACAAGGAGAAGGTGCGTTTAATTTGTGTTTACATACTCCAGCCACGTGAGATCTTTCTCTGTCCTTGAAAATCGATTTATTTCCTCTCAGCTTCGTAGAAAGTTGGCACAGTTACAGAAAGAATACCTCAAGACAGCCCAGAGACTACAGGTGAGACATGCATTTTTATTTTTACTATACGTGGGAATGAAACCAGAGAGTAAGCATATTTCACACATTTCATGCACGTATTTATTTGATGATTATTTTCGAACAGCGTGCTGAGCGTTTAGAAGCTGTGCAGAAACACATTAAACGTAAACTTCAAGATCAGAAAGAACCAGAGGTTACCTGCAGCTCTTCACTGACGACAAACCAAAACAACTCCACAGTCCAAGGTTGAGCTCAAATATTTTTTCAGTTATATTCTTAATAAAATCTCAATTTATTAAAAAGCTTTTAATTTTATATTTTATCTTGTCTGGCAGATTTTGACACTTTAAGGAGGAATCAGGTGCTTGGGTTTACACTCCCCTCTGATGCTGCTGGTCCACAGACCCCAGATCTCAGAGATGATGCTGCTAGGGGTCGCAGACCCAGTCCCACCCTCCGTCTCCGATCACGCCGCAGTCGCCTTCGACTGGAAAGGAGGAGCACCGCTGAGGGTGGCGCGAGCAACGACAGCAGCCAACAGGGACAGGGGTCAGGTGAAGGGATGGGAAGTGTAAAACCAGGAGAAGAACAAGGGATGGTTGAGTCAAAAGCAGATGCAGTCAATGAAAGTGAAGAGTTGTTTTCTAATACAAAATCTGAGTCCCCCTCGCTGCTGCTCCCTCACTGGAATGCACAAGGACACTCTGAAACTGGAAACATATTTGGGAAGGAGCATCAAAGGGGTCATCAAGAAGGAAAAGAAACCGACTTGGATATTGCTAAACCTTTTTTGATCAGTGAAGGAAGAGAACTACTTGTCACCCAAGCCGGGGATGCAGAGATAAAGACTGGAGACGACAGATCCAGTTGTAATGAGTTAGGGAAATGTTTCGTTGAGGAGAACAGATCTGAAAGCTGTGAAATAAATGAAGGTGGGGTCATCAAAAGTGAAACAAATCCTAAAAGTTCACTGGAAACAAAAGAAGAGAGGAATGGGATGAGACGAGAGGAGAAAACGGACAGCCTCCTTGACTCCTGCACGTTAGTGGAGGGACTACTTTTTCCGGCGGAATACTACATTCGAACCACAAGGCGTATGACGGTTTCCCAGAGCCAGCCTGATGTGCAGCTCATCCTACTTTCTCAGCTGAACAACGGACGGCAGCGCAGGAGTCGAGGACGTGGCAGAGGAAGGAACAGACACTCACACTCTGGAGAAAGTTCAGATCAACACACTCGGACTGATTTCTTCTCTCCTGAAACTTTGTCCTCATTCATAGACCCTCTTGGCTCGCCTCATGCATCTGCAGAGTGTGGTCAGAGTTCCAGTGGTGTTTCAGATTCTATTACAGCTTCCCAGGTGGACTCAGAATCTTCTTTTTTACCAACAGTCACCACAGTTCGTCCATTACGAGGAAGGAGAAGGGGGAGAGGCAGGGGGAGAGGGAGACCTCGGACCCCACGTTCCCATCAGCATATTAGGGAACAGACATCAGCAGATCCTCAACCCTCAGATATTCAAGTAGCTTCGTCTCAGTCAAACGGCGGGGTGAACACCTGCTTCAGCTCAGTGGAAGCTGATCCCAAGCCAGCTGGAAGCACGTTTTTATCTAACAGTCATGGAGCTCCAACCAGCTGTTCAGCTCATCATCTGGAGAAGGTCCTTCCTATCTTTGTGAAGAGCAGCAGCAGTACCAGCAGACCCCCACAGATGAACAAAGGTACATGAGAGGAATGTTTTAATTATAGCACCAAAAGGTCAGTTAGGTCTTATATTGGGCCATTCCCATCTGTACCGGGTCGGCCCGGGCCGGGTAGCCCCAGTCGGCCCCAGCCTGGCCCGGTTGATTCCACACATCCTTGCCTTAAGCCCATGTGGGCTGATTCTACCCACCAATCAGAGGCTTGCTCTAATGGAAGGTGTGAATTTGCTGTCAGCAGTGGGTGTGTTGGGCCTGGTCGGCCTGAAGCAGACCCTCTCGAGAAGAGGGCTGAGAATGAGCCTTGGTTGGCCCAGAAAAATACCAGGCCACCCAGATATGTAAACAACCTACGCTACCCGGCCCGGGCCGACCCGGTACAGCTGGGAATGGCCCATATGTGTCTTCTTTTTCCACCTCACTTAAGTTCACAACCTATTTTTTTCCCAACACTGTCTTGCAGGTACACCAAGCTGGGAGTCCCTCTTCCTGCCCTCCTCTTCCTCACCAGCTCAGACATCTCTGCTTTCTCCTCTCTCCCCGTTTCCAGTCTCACTGGTCAGTGCCCTGAAAAGTTTAGACATCCACCAGGATTTCCATCTCCCAGATGATCAGTTTGCCTCCCTGAAGCTGCACAAGCTCCGCCGGATTGCCGTGGAGTCGGGAGTCGAACATTTTTCAACACCGTTGCGCAACACTCGCAGCAGCATCCGTCGCTCCCACCCGGAGTGCAGCATGAGTGACCCGTCGGTAATGCTTCCTCTCCCTCTGAGCCTCACGCCGACTGTACTAAGCTCACCCCGTCCTGATGACGCACAGCTGCTGCACATTCGGGATTTGTCAGTAGAACAGGTCCTTACAAATGAATCGATCAGCAAGAGCTCGGTTCATGAGCTGTTGGGAAAAAATGTTGCAGAAACAGATGAGGAGCAGCAGCTTTGTGCAGAAACTCTCGACAAATCGACAAAATCTGTTTTAGCTGTTGGAGAGGAAACCGAAGGCGACGCTAAAGAGGATCGACCTTCAGAAGATCACACGTGTGGACGTGACCAATCAGAACACCGAGATGTTGCTGACTCTGTTTACAGTGATTACTGTCCAAAGGAAACTCAAGAGAAGCCTTCAAACATCCGCTTTCCTTTGGAGTCACATAAGGAGACAAAAGCTCCACAGGAGTCACCCGCTTCAGAAAAGTACCTTTTCATCACCCCTCACCTGCCCTCACCCACTCCAGCATCCAGCCCTGCACTCCCCTCGTTAGGGATAACTCCTCGTCTTGCTGCAGGTGGCCCTCCTCTCAGCCTGCCCCCTCCTTGCAGCCCATCCACAACGGCTCTCTCTCTTCCAGCTCTGTCCCCCTTTCCGTCTATCACCTCCCTCTCCCCTAGCCTGCCTCCTCTCTCCCCTTGTAGACAAATCCAGGATTTATCTGCGCCGCCTGCTGGGAGCGATCAGGTTATTGAACCTGCCGCCCATCCGACTCCGTCCAGCATTCAGCGGCATGAATCAGATGAGCAGGAGACAAATAGATCTGCAGAGGAGCATGGGATGAGATGCATGCACACGCTGAAGGTAAGAAACATTTTAAAACAGTTAGAAATACAAACTTTTGTTTAAAATGTGCAACATGTTTTAGCTCCTTTTTGAGTAAATGTGTGTTTTGTATCCTCAGGCTGCAGCAGGAGGCTCTCTGGTGGATGTGTGCTGTTTTCCTGGATCATCAGATGGATTGTTTGTGGCAGCAGCTGGAGCGTGGGCCGTGTGTCTCTGGAGCTGGACTCCAGTTTCTGATTGGAGCCTAAAACACACCTGGACCTTCAGCAAGGTGATCAGCGTGTCCGCTTTTTGTGTTTTGCACACGTTTCAGAGAGAAGCAGAGTAATTTTAAGATAAATAATGTATTTTTAATGATTCCTGCAGTATTTTTAGTGTATTTTTTTTAATATAAGATGTAAATTTTACAGTAAAATGTAATTGTTGTGATTACAGCCTGTGATCAGCGTGTTTACCGTCCAAGATGCAGCCGAGCTCGTGTGTGTGACACTCGGTCAGCTGGAAATCAGAGAAGTGAGGTGAATGCAACCCAATAAGGAGCATCAGTGTGTTCATATGCAAGAATCAGATCTTGAGGCAAATAGTTTGTTTTTGAGTCCAAAGTTTCCCACAAAAAAAGAATGGATTTGACCGTTTTTGCTTACGAATCGCTGCTCTTTTTAAACACACAAGACACACCTTTGGAAGGAACAGAAAAAACCTTTTTAAAGTTGAATCTTTTTGCAATGTGTTTATGTGTGCAGACTGCTGCTGTGCTCCAGCCTCACTCAGATGCTGATCTGTGATGGAGTCATGCAGGTGGTTGTAGGTGTGTACAAGTCCAGAGTGGTTACCTCCTCACACGCTGCCACTGGCTCCACCCTGCAGGTGTTTACGCCGTCGGATAGTGTCAGGTAAGGCTCTGCATATGCCCCACCCCCATTTTCTGTCTCGCTGCGCTGCTGAACAGATGTCTCGCTGCTGTCTCCTTCAGCTCGTGGAGTTCTCAGCCTCTGGTGTCTCCTGGTGTTTGTGTCGGTGCTCTTGCTCCAGTGGACGGGCTTCCTGATGCTCTGATTGGCTCGGATGAAGGTGGACACATCTTCATCTGGTAAATAAGATCAGGGTATAACACCATGGACGAGGCACTGTTAACCTGGATTAGTTCATGGGCTAAATACATTTATGCTAAATGAAACCACTAAATAATTAATATAGTTGACGTTTTTAAAATTTTGCCTTAATATTTTGTAAATTCTAACCGTAGACAAAGAAAGTTAGACAGAAATTAGAGTATACATCCGATGGGGGGGAGTTTAATATACATGGTATCTGCGGGTCCTTAAAAAGTCTTAAAAAGTCTTAAATTTGCTTTTCAAAATTTAAGGCTTTAAAAATCCTTAAAAAATGACAAATAATCCTTAAATACAGTTTCCAAAGGTCTTAAATTACTAAAGGCCCACTAAAGAAGATTCTTTTATTTCTATAAAAATTTTGTGAATTTCTAGTTAGTGTTCAGGATTTGGCGTAAGCGGAACCGTACACATTCAGCTGGTTGTGAAAGGGGGCTATTTTAAGATGAGCACATTAGCTGGTTAAGCTAGTGGGAGCTTGCGCCATGGGGAAGTTTAATGGTAACTTGATGGCTAATCCCACATTCACGATGTGGTTAGCACCGGTTCCAGGCAATAGCTGGAAATTATAGCTTGAATTTAATTTTTAAAATAGCTTAAATTTGGTCTAAGTGGCCTTAAAAAAGGTCTTAAAAAGTCTTAAATTTGGCTCCCAGAAACCTGCAGATACCCTGATATATTAAGAAAGTTGAATAATTTAGCCAGTTTTATTATTGTCATCTGATTGGGCAAAGTTTAATTTTCACCCTTTTGATGTGAGTTATATATTTTGCTCTTTTGTTCAGATTATAGTTTTATATCATTTTACTTATCTAAAATGACAAAATGTTGGATTTGTGCCAAGCTAACTCTGCAGCATTGGAGCAAAAAGCTCTAGAGTAGTTTAACCAAAGCCAGTAAACAGGAGAGACCCAGAAGTTATTGCTTGTTACAAGCTGCAGCATCTTTTTGTTTTACTCTGTGAAGCAGGCTAAAGGCTAATGTTGAGCTAACAATGCTAACGGTGAATTAGAAACAGTCTGCTCTTAAAAAAGTCTAAAGCTACCGTTTTAATCACCAACAACTCGATATTACAGTTACATTTATGTGTGAAGAGAATTATTAGTCAATTGTTGAGTTTTACTTATAAGAACAAGCTAACAGCAAGACGGCAAACAACCACAATTCCTTTATGCTGGAGAGATATTACCATAATATATGTAGAAAGTGCTCCCAAGAGTGCTAGGACCAGATATGACGATGTATTTATCTACTGATCACCTTACGGTGTATGACTAGTCTTCACTTGTCATCTAGAATCTTCTGGCGCTGATCCGTAACTGTCATGAAACTCACTTAACGATAGTGAGAAAGTTCCCTGTTGTTTATAAAAACGGACTGCAGTACCCACATTCGACCACACGATGTCATTCTGACGTCATTCCTATATAATGCACCTTTAACTGGTTTGACATTTGGAGACAACAGAACCACTGTTTATAATTGTTTATGCTTACCCCTTGGTGGCAAATAAAACTATTGCAGGTCAAAATCTGAAATGATTACAAATAAACACTCCTTCAAGAAAAAGGTTGTTTTTTTTGGGTGTCTCAGAAGTTTTTCCATTTTTTCCTCCTAAGGAATTTAAATAGTGGACAGCTGCTGTCCAGAGTCCTGCTCAGCCACGGCTTATCTCAGGCGTCCTGCCTCAGAGGTTACGCCCACTGTGTGAGTATCCAGCGGTTGTACAAATGGAAACTTTAGATGATGCTCACGTGACTCGTGCGATTATCATTCAGGGGGTGTTGTTTGTGCTGCTGCAACATCAGTTTCTAAGCTCTCTAAACGATGAAAAAGAAGCAACGATTGAAGAGCAGAGGTTTTTGACGGAGGACACAAGGACGGCCATGTTTTCTTTGGTGGGCATCAACCCTCTGAATGGAAAGTCCATCCTGGCTACTCGGCTGTGTCCACCCGAAGCCTGGTCGGGCAGGTGAGATGAGAAGTACCAGACGAAAAGGGGAAAAAAAATATTTTGTGTGCTTCTGTATGAACGCATGGATGCAATCGCTGACTTTGCAGGTTGTGTGAAGCTGACGTTTTCCACTCCAGTGTAGTGGGCCTGAGTCAGCGCGGGAGTGCTTGTGTCTGGGAGCTCGGAAAACGCGGAACATCTCGAATGCTAGAGGCTCCAGAAGGTGAAGACTGGCAGCTGGCTCGTTGGGGGGGTGGAGGAGACATGCTGGTGATGGGACATCATAACGGAGACGTTTCTGTGCATCAGTGCTGGTGAGTCAGAATTCACTGGAGCACGAGCAGAAGACTTTCTGAAGCCGTGGGATCATCGCATCATGCTGTTATTTTGTGTTTAATCTAAATGTCACTTTATCTCGTTTATCATCCGTTCGTCACGATAACTTAGTTCAGTTTTTCCACACGGGAAGTCATTTTTATACCAAAAACCGAGCGAGTTCATTTCGATTAAGCTGTGTTTTCTTTTATTGCACATATATGACACTTGTTTTAGAAAACGACTCGTTTTGATGCTACTGCCATTTTAGATGTGCTTTACTACGATTGTATGTTGTATTTAAAAAAAGAGTATTTGTATTAAAAATGTCTATTAAACATAACTTGCTTTTTGTTTCCTTTCAAACAAGTATGAGTAAATAAATTGTGTTTTCTCTTAGAAAAGATCTTATGTAGGGAATTACACGGTGGCGCCCTTTTAAGGCAGTTTGTTAACGAAACAGTGTAAAAGTTCATTTTTTTCCTCTTAAAATTTAAGTTTAGGTTATCTGGGTAATTAAATCAACATTTATTTGCCGCATTTTTGGGATGAGTGTTTAATTTGGGCTGATTAGTGCCCTTCTGGTTCTGGATATATCCACTGAGGTTGGACACCAAAGATCAGAGAGGTGGGGCTCTCAACCACGTTCACAACCACAGAGTTTTGATAGACAACATGGATGTTAGCATGAAGGGACTGGGAGGTTTTCCTCCCCTTATCCGGGGTGCGGTCAGCAGCCTAAGCAGAGACCCAGACTTCCATCTTCCAGCCACTTGGGCCAGCTCCTCCAGAGGAGCTAAGCTAACCAATGTGAGCACATATACAAATGTCTACAATTTAGTCATTTTTGTCAAATTTACAAGGCAGAAACACATCCAGCACCATCATTTCAAACACGGGGGCCCCCCAGGGATGTGTGCTGAGCCCCCTCCTCTTCACTCTGCTGACCCACGACTGTACACCATTACACAGCTCTAACCTCTTCATCAAGTTTGCGGATGGCACAACAGTGGTGGGTCTTATAAACCACGGAGATGAGACCGACTACAGGAACGAGGTGAGCCGCCTTACCACATGGTGTGCTGACAACAACCTCTCTCTAAATGTGGAGAAGACCAAGGAGATTGTTGTGGACTTCAGGAGAGCACACACTCAGCATGCTCCTCTGACCATCAACGGTGCGTCTGGAGAGAGTGAGCAGCACCAAGTTCCTTGGTGTGCACATTACAGAGGACCTCCCCTGGACGAACAACACCATAGCATTGGCGAGGAAATCACAGCAGCGTCTCTTCTTCCTCCGCAAACTAAGAAGAGCAAGAGCACCAGCCCCCATCCTGTACACTTTCTACAGAGGCACCATCGAGAGCATCCTGTCGTGCGGCATCACTGTGTGGTATGGAGCCTGCAACGTATCCTGCTTTAAAACCCTCCAACGTATAGTGAGAGCAGCAGAGAAGATCATCAGGGTCTCTCTCCCCTCCCTACCAGACATTGCGGCTGATCCCACTCACCCAATGCAAAGCCTCTTCGAGCTGCTGCCGTCAGGGAGGAGACTGCAGAGTCTCAAGGCCAGGACCAACAGACTGAAGGACAGCTTTATCCATCAGGCAGTTAGGAAGCTAAACTCCCTCCCGGCTCTCCCAACTCTCCTCTCTCTTCCCCCACAGTCTCTCTGAACTTGGTTACTGTTTTTATACTAAATGTTTATTTTCTATCTAGCGAGAGTTTGAGAGTAACGTAATTTCATTTCTCTGTATGTCCTGTACATGTGGCAGAAGTGACAATTAAACTGACTTTGACTTTGAGTTAACTCAAGAGTTCCTCAGACAAAATAAAATTAATGTAAGTGAATGGGGCAGTAAAAGTTATCCTAGTCTGCTTTGCTCTACACCCAGAAGCACATTAGTTGTACTTGTAAATGGGTGCAATGCTTGCTAAACTCGTTTTTCTTCTCTTGTCTGGTTTGATGATAGCCTGGCAAGCTATCCTATATATGTGAATATATAAGGCAAGAATTTGGTGAGACAATCATTTGAAGTCCTCTGTCAGGGATAGTCAACTCCCTTCCCCAAGGGCCAGTATCCAGCAGGTTTTAGTTGTTTCCCTGCTTCAACACACCAGATATTAATCAACGGGTGATTTAACAGCTTCTCCAGAGTTTGATGAGCAGCTGAACAGGTGAATCAACTGTGTTTGTGTAGGGAAACAACTAAAACATGCTGGGCACCAGCCCTCAGGGAACAGAGTTCACTACCTAAGGGAGTTTTCCTCTCCACTGTCGCTTTATGCTTGCTTAGTATGAGGATTGCTGTAAAGTCACTGACACTAGTCAGTGACTTGATGCAATTTGCTGGGTTCCTTATATAGGAAACATTATTTCTGATTGGCTTAATGAACTGACCTGTATTGGAATGTTTATTATGCCTTGAGACAACTCTTGTCGTGATTTGGCGCTATATAAATAAAATTGAATTGAACTACCTCAGCTCTACGTGATTTCACACAAAGCCTGAATAACCTGTGCCGTAAACTGTCTTCACAATTCAGACATGATCAAGTTAAAGCTATGGCACATAAACAAGACCAGAAGATAACATAATGGCCCAGATTGTGTTTTTTTTACTGTAAGAGACCCGTGGACATGACTTTAGGCTTCCAATGGAGCTGAAATTAGCTCAGTATTTTGCACTTTGTTGACTTGAATAAACAAAATGCAAAGATTTGAGAGAATTAACAATTTTTTATTTTTACTTGGAAAAACAATCTTTATTTCATCTTGAGCAGAGGTTTACCCTCTTTAAAATACTCAGCAGTATGTACAAGTTTGTTCACCATCAACCCGCTTAGCCAACAGTTACAAACACAAACAAACAGGAAGAATGTACATGATGAAAACATTAACACGGTCAGTTTCCGCACACACAGACTGGAAAAGCAGACCAGTGCTTTATGAACAGCATGTTGAGAGTCCATCTCTCACAAGACGAACATCTTCCTGAATGATTTAAAACACAAGAACAACAACAGGAAAAAGGAAAGGTTTACAACCAAACGCCTCAACTTCTTAAATGATGCATTTCAACAGCTCTTTTCAAGCTACGTTATTAGTCTTGGTGTTGATAATTAAGCAGTCCATGAAAGGTGAACATAAGAGGAAAACATGTTGGCATATTAAAGTTTAGGTTGATGGAGCACATTGTGTAAGTGTGACATGAAAACCTCTGCTTCGCTTTAAAAAATACACGTAATATTAAAAGTTCTGCGACTAGAAGGGAAAGTGATTGAAGGTTTGAGGAACAAACTAGACTATTGTGCAGGAGAAGAAGCCTTGCTGTCCTGCAGCTTCTCCACCATCTGCTTGGCGTAACGTATGCGGCTAGCCAGCTCCTTACTGCAGCCGAACTCCTCCAGAAGAGACAGCTTGTAAGTGCGGAAGTCTCGCTTCTCGTCGATGTAGGTCACCGCCGACATGAGCGGACACAAGATCAGCTTGGTGTGATCCTGAAAAGCACATAATGATAGAAGATGAGGGATCGCGCACGTGAAGCATCACGCGTTGAGTGAAAGGGTTAACCATCTAACCTGGAAGAAGTTGATCTGAACTGTGCCGTTGCTGAGGTGCAGTACGATGGCGCTTTTCGTCCTAAACCACAAGGAGAGGTAAGGCAGCCGTGCCAGCTCATCTCCCTCCCGCCGCGCCATGTTGGCCCCAGCTTTCAGGAGGTGCTCGCTCATATAGTTACGGAAGTATTTCAGCAGCGTAATCTACAGCCAGAGAGAAATACAAGTCACTGTGATGGCCTTGAAGGGGATAAAATGGAATTAAAAAATAAATAAAAACACTGTCTGACCTTTTTGTTGAGAGTAGCGGGGAAAGAGCGAACGCTGAGGTAGGACTCAGCTGCAGTCTTATCGATGTACTGGAGGCTGTCTCCGTCAGCGTACATGATGAGCCGGGTGTAATCGTTGAACAGAACCCCCACGCTGTTGTCGCAGAGCTGGTAGCCTGGAACAGACATTAAAAACTCTGTAAAGATACTTTTAACAGTACCAGATAACATCTATACAGGGTATCTGCAGGTTTAAGGGAGCCAGATTTAAGACTTTTTAAGACCTTTTTTAAGGCCACTTTGACCAAATTTAAGCTTCTTTTTTTTTTAAATTAAATTTAAGCTATAATTTCCAGCTATTGCCTGGAACCGGTGCTAACCAGGTCGTGAACGTGGGATTAGCCATCCATTTACCATTAATGTTGCACTTCCCCATGGTGCAAACTCCCACTAGCATGCTCATCTAAAAATAGCCCCCTTTCACAACCAACCGAATGTGTACGGTTCCGCTTACGCCAATATCATACACAAAAAATGCCAAACTAACTAGAAATTCATGAAAATTTTATAGAAATAAAAGAATCTTGTTTATTGGGTCTTTGGTAATTTAAGACCGTTGGAAACTATTTAAGGACTATTTGTCATTTTTAAGGATTTTTAAGGCCTTAAATTTGGAAAAGCTAATTTAAGACTTTTTATGGACCTGCAGATACCCTGTATATACTTTTAATAGTCTAAACCAAACTTACAAAGTTAAAATTGCAGCTTATGTGAACAAACAAACGGTCTCCTAACATTTACCTAATCCATATTTATCAGAGTAGTCGACCCATTTGCTGATCCAGAAGATGGGGATGCACGCAGGATCCTCGGCCTCCTCTGGAATTACACAAAAAAACCTTAGATGTAGATTAAAAAGTAGATAACCGCATCCGTTTTGACAAAATTCAGAGAAATAGCAACAGAGACTCCACAAGATCGGTAAAGACGAAGTGAGACACGTCCACTAACCTTGCTGGATGACGGCCCTTTCAGAGGGTTTGGTGGACATGATGCTGTTCAGCTGCTGCAGCATGTCTTTCAGGTAGGGCTCTGATGGTTCAGCCGCCCTGCACACACACACATTTAAAGGTTAACAACATCTACGCAAAGAAAAGATAAAAACTAACAGAACTAGAATTTTTATAAAATGTTTGTCATGTGATAAATAAATGAAAAACACCTTTGCATAGGCTCGTCTTTCACCTCCGTTTTCTCCGTACCAACTGGGAACAAAGAAAAAAAAAACGTTAACATCTAAAACAAGACTAATAAAATCTATGTGGATCAACTCAAACATCATTGCCTAGGAAAAATAAAAACAAAGATTTTCATTTTGATCGCCATTACCCTTGTTTAGAGCAGTCAGAGGACGCCGCTGGCTGAGCTCTGCAGTTGTGGAGGGGGCGATGGAGAACCGAGGGGGTACAGTAAGACACGTGGTGGGCAGACGGAGGGGGATGTAGCCGGACGTAAAGAACTCATCGGCCTGCACTTCAGCAACGCTTGGCCTCTGTGCAGGATCGGCGTGCAGCATCTTCTTGATCAGAGTCGCCGCAGTCGGGGTGATGTGCTGCAGGTTGTTCAGATCATACGACTCAATTATTAACTTAATTTTAGAAAGAAAACGGTGCATTCAGTTTGATTTTCATACCCAGGGGATGGTGTAGTTGTTCTTCTTGATGCGACTGTAGGTGTCCTTCAAACAGGAGGTCTCAAACGGGGGCTTGCCCACCAACAGAGTGTACCTGAAAGAACAGAAAAGGGAAGCTTTCACAGCTGGGACATTTCAAATGAGTTGCGTTTGTGGGCCTGTACTTACAATATGCACCCAAGTGACCAGACATCGACCTCATAGCTGTGGCCCTTTTTACAAAGCACTTCTGGTGCTATGTAGTTGGGCGTTCCACACAAAGTCTTCTTTCGTTCGCCTTCAAACTCGATCTTAGTCGCCAAGCCAAAGTCCCCTAAACAAGAGAGAACACGTAATAACGAGGCATGCTTTGATTCAAATCCTTCTCGACGTGATAAAAACAAAAGATCTAGTGCAAGCTACAAGTCCAAGCAAGTGGAGTACCAATTTTGACATCCATGTCGTCGTTGAGGAAGATATTGCCCAGTTTCAGGTCTCTGTGGATGACCTTGTTGTTGTGCAGGTACTGGACACCCTTCAGCAGCTGGGCCATGTAGTAGCGAGCTTCAGGCTCCGTCACAGCCTTGCGGCGTTTGTGCAGCTCCAGCAAGGACTGAAATAAAGCATTTTAAACAGTCAAGACAACAGCTCAAGAAAAGAGTGATCTTTTATGCGTTTAATTATAAGATTGAACATATGGTACACATGGGGCCACCAGAGTGGTACTGGACCAATAAACCCACATTTATAGGCTAGAAGTTTCTTTTTAAGATGTTTTTATCAAAGATCAAATAGTTGTGAGGTGTTAAATGAGTCTGGTACTGCTTGCTTCCCACTATTTAAACATGAGGACAACGGAAGATGTCGCAGTGTTTAACCGTCGGCTCTAAACCTCACTGAAAAGCTGGTTTCCTTCCATCGTACTCACCCTTCTCCTGCAGATCTCCAGGACCACAAACACATGGTCATCGTCTTCGAAAAACCCGTGGAAGCCGACGATGTTAGCGTGATCCAGACTCTTGTGTATGGCGATTTCCGAGGTCATCTTATCCCTTTGGTGCTGCTTTTGTAACAAATACTTAGCTACGATCTTGCCAGCAAACACCGTCTTCGTCTCTACATCTGTGATCTCGTAGCATTTGGCGAAACCACCCTTCCCGAGGAATCTCCCCCTCGTGTATCTTTTCATGGTTCGGGAATCAACGAGAATTTCTGGGATTTCTTTGAGAGGTGCCGATTTGGGATCCGCACGTTCCAACGGCTTTGCGGTACCAGCACTCATTTTGTATTAGAGCTGTCTTCTATGAACTTACAGGAATGTTTATTTTCTCTCCGCGCAGTAAACGTGGTGAAAACTACAAGAATCAAACTACTAACCCTAACACAACCGACGTTACTTTAGCCTAGCTAGCTAACTTTCTCCCATACACGTCTGAATTTAAATCTAATCACGAGTTTAGACTTCCTGAAAGCAAGCGATAATTAACATTAGGTTCTACAATTATAAAACGACATATATAGACATAAATATTAAAATAAATCTGCTTTCCTCATGGAATAATTCAGCAGACGTGTCCGACGGCGGCGTCTCCTGTGTTCTGTTCTGCCCTTCGAAAACAGTTTCTAGTATTAAGTTAAATGCTCGCTCTGTCGCCACGGCGCTTTCTCATTGGTCCACTTGATTTGAATTCTACGCAAAGCATTGTGGGAAGAAAAATGCAAAACTAGCCAATCAACGGGGTTGAAATAAAGTTCTAACATCGTGATTGGCTCAATGACGTCTTGCGTTTCCTTAACGCAAAGGCTGATGGTAAATGTAGACTAGTGTTAGATTTTACTTGATTTTATCGTCATCCAGAATCCAAGAAGGATTTAATTTTAACATGTAATCATATTATTAAACTGGATAAAACAGTGAAACGACAGTGTGGTCAAAATAAAAACGAAAATTGAAATAAAATAAGACGAAATGCACAAACGTTTTGAGTAATAAAAGCATGTTTGCAAAAACGATATCGGCACAGAACTATTAAATTGTGTATTTCTACAGTTAAAAGGTAAATTGAGAAAATCATGATGTTGCAAAAAATTACATTATTGATAGTTTAATTCACTTTCACACATATTCCACTGGGTGGCAGCAGTGGACAAATTCACAATTATTGTTCCTTGAGAAAGCACTTTTTTCAGACCAATCACACAATAAGCACTTCATATGACACAGCACGGATTCACAGCTGTAAATAATGAGATCATAAATAGATTATTGTCATGATGGTCTAGAATTAACTTTATAAATGTCTAATCATTAAATAGGTAACATCATCTTAAAATAAAAATTTCAGTCCACAACACTTTTTCCAGGGAATCATTTTCTGTTGAAGCCTCCCATAGTTATTAAAACAAAAAGTAAGAGTGCACAGCTAGTGGCTGATTTGACTTTGTTATAAGGGGGGATGTTTAATATAGGGACTATTTACTATGCACACACTCTTTAAAATATGTGTGTTTTACAGTTTTTTGTTTTTTCACTTTGTGTGTTTGTTTATAAATGGTCTTCAGGCTTTAGTCCGACTGGTGGGTGATGTGTGGAGATTGCTGGCTTATATGTGTCTGTTCCATTTTTGCACATTCATCCTTCTCTTCTGCTGCCATGTGTTTCCATGGCAACACACAGAAGATGCTGTAGGGAAAACTAAATGAAGTAAGCTTGTCTGTGCTTGTATGGGTCAACATTTACACACATTTAGTTTATTACACAGGATTTTGCAGAGAGCTGAACGTCCTCTGCAGAGGGGCACAAAGAAAGTAGAGTAGGTTACCTCCCTCCATGTTTCATCTTCTTTTCTTCCACAGTTTTGGCTCACTGGAATCTCAAGGGTGCTGTGAGCTCTTTAATTTTTCACCTACATAAAGTAAAGCGTTAGCAAAACCAGGACAAAGGATGTTTTTTCCTAAATCAGAACAACATGCTTGCCACATTTAGAATACATATTTCAGCCAAAGATATGTAAATATAGAATAAAATTAATCAAAATGTCTGTCTTCAAAAGTGATGGTGAAATCTAAAAGTTATGTGGAGAATGCAAACTTTTAGTTTTCACTTTATAATAATGAATGACCTAAAAAGACTGTAGGGACTGTTTTAAATATTCAAATGATGCTAGCACTATGCATTTGTTTGTAATGTTTGCCAGGGACCAAGGACAGGAAAAATGATCTGTTGAAAAGAGAAATAGTGTATGATATTTGTATTCTAATCCGTGTTGGGATTAAAGATCCAATGTAACTAAATATGGTGTGATAATTTCCTCCAGCTTTTCATTTTATACTCATTGGGACCTTAAAGGATTAAAGTTTCATTTATTCACTATTAAGTAAATTGTAAAATAATCAGATTGTCTTATTAACTATCTATTTCTTTTTTTTTTTTACCTTTTTTTCTCCAGCTCAGGGAAATTATAAACAGACGTGTTTAATAATAATAATAATAATACATTTTATTTAAAAGCGCCTTTCAGAACACCCAAGGTCACTGGGTGCAACTTAAATACAAATATTGACATACTGCAACAGCTCTGTTCTTCAGCACTATTTTCCAGCATGCTATTTTCTTTCCAATAAAACTTTTATACTGTCAATGAAAATCAATACATTTACTTTTCTCATATTTCTATATAATCTTATCTTTATATACTTTTACTTTTAAATGTTGTTTTTCCTGTACCACAAAGATGAGAGAAAAACACTGTATTGATTCACCTGTATGTCCTGAACATATAAAAGACAATTTGATTCTATGCATGGCTTGCAGTACGTGGATAAAGGACATTGAAACACTGGTTACAAATTTGAAAAAGTTAAATGAAACATAAAGAAAATGTAATGAAATTGATTTGATTCTAAACCAAAGGGAAATAATTTCACTTTAAATCGTTATTCTTGCAAAAGAACCACAAGAATTCCTTTACATTCATTCAAAACGTAGCCATTTTAAAGGCGTGGGAAACTTGTTTAATCAATACATTTGCAGTGGTCTCTGGTATGAATGCCTTGCAAATGGGGCAAAAAAATCCCAGAATGGCTTGGATCAGCACAGACAAATCTGCTGCTGCAGAAAGTGGTAGCAGACAGCAGGATTTGGAGTCTTATTTCCTAATGTTGAGGGTCTGCCCTCATGAGGAAATTACTATGCAGTAATTTCTCCAAAAGACTGTGTCATCTGCGCTCTGAAAAAGCAGATATTAAAAATCAGCGCCAGCAACAACTTCATGTCCCATGAGCCTTTGCACCCGGAAGCAGCGTGATGACGTCACCAAAGCGGAGCCGAACCCCGGAACCCACAGCTTCCTCCCGCCGGACAGCCGAGTCTATAAAAGGGAGACAGAACGAAACTTATCTGTCTTTTGTTCCAGTTCAACTGGCATGAAGACGCACTCGTTTGCTGCGGCTCTGGACAGCATGTGCACGAGACCTAGCTGCTGAAGTGGATGGAACACCGAGCTACTGGAAGCAATGGAGAATGCCGATTGAACACTGAGGGACGCCTCGCTGTTCGTTCGTTCAAAGTTTTAACTCTCTCTCTTTCTCTTCCGCTTCTCTAACATAGTTCAGAACAAGCAATCAAACCGCGCGATTTGCTTTAAAGTAGCACCGGGCTCTACATCGTACCAAAAACGCCATCGGATCATCTTAAGAGTAAGCCGTTTTGCTTCTTTCATTGTAATATCTAAGGTTTTGAGCTGTGGCCACAGCATAAAATAAATATTTAGATATTTAATTTGCCTTTGAGTGATCTTTTGTTTTGTTTATTGATCTTTGTGAAGCGGTTTTGAAGTTTGTTAAGTTTTACTGTGCATGAAAGTTTGCTCACATCACTGTTGAAAGATGAACACACACACACACACACACATACATGTTTTAGTGTTGGTAGGGGACATGACTAAAACACACACTTATTGGGTCAGATTGTTTTACATTATCATTTCATTGTTTCATTGTTTGTGTTTGTTTGATAAAATAAGTTGGTTAATATTGATTGGCTAAACGCTTCAGAAGGAGCTGTAGTGATTGTATTAGTTAATAAATGTTTTGCCAATTCAGTTTTGTCTCAACTGAATTTGTTTGTGTGATATGAATTTATGACTGCTGCTCGTAAATGAATTTTACTAACTTTAAGACAGACTGATAAGAGGTTTTGGATTCATTGTTCCCCTGTTAAAGCGGTGGTGCCCCGAGGATATCTCCGGATATCCTAATTACGTAATAAAATCGGTAACTATTTCCATATTTACGAATTTTATTGAAGAATCCAAAAAGTAAGTAAAAGCCTACAAATTATTCGTTGACTAATAATCACAACACTGATATTTGGACATTTTGCCTCTGGTTGGTTAACATAAAGTGACTCTAGCACTTACTGCATTTGCAACGTGGATGTTTTATCTCCACAAGGACACAAGCCTAGAGGAGTTCTGCTGTGTGGTGGAGTTGCTAATGCTAACAGTTAGCTTTCGGGATGTTGTCTGCTGATTCCTGGACGTTAAACCAACAACAGCCTTCCCCTGTCACGAGTCAATATGGGCGAGTCCATGAACATTAAGTGAAAGTGTGACGTAGATGTGTCAGGATTTTCAAATCCTAGAGTTTCACCGTCTGCTTTCTCTCAGAAGCTAATTCAATTCAATTCAATTCAAAAATACTTTATTGATCCCAGAGGGAAATTGATTGCTGTAGTAGCTCATAATAATAATAATAATAATAATAATAATAATAATAATAATAAAGTCGTCAAAGAGTTATTGTATATTACAATGGCTGTTGGCAGGAAGGATCTCCAGTAGCGGTCAGTGTTGCAGCGAAATTGAAGACTCTGACTGAAGACACTCTTCCGTTGTCAGACAGTCTTGTGAAGAGAATGCTCAGGGTTGTCCATAATTTTCTTGATTCTCTGGAGAATCCTTCTTTGCATTATCTCCTCCAGTTGTTCCACAGTCATCCCCAAAACAGAAACAGCCTTTTTTATTAGGCTGTTGAGCCTTTTCAGGTCCCTGCTTCTGATGCTGACAGCACCTGATTTATCATTGCCCATTATGATCGATGGAAGAGATGGTTTGAATTTCCGCTTTCTCTGTCTCCGTTTTGCTCCCGCTCTGCACCCACGCTTCTTGCGTTTTAGCTCATTTGGGATTTGTGGCTTCAGTTGAGGTATTATTTCAACCTTTCCAATGTTAATCAGCTGCTCCCGATTGTAAACCAGCTTGTTACCGTGGTTTACGCATCACAACAAATGCTCAAAAAGTGAAAAAAGTGAAAAAATTGCAGTAAAAATCCTCTAAGATATAGTCAACAGAGCTACTCCAACATGCAGCCACCCAGAGCAGCGCAGTTCCAGAATGATAATGCAGGAGAAAGGTGTAGGAGCCTATTTCATGGTCAGCCTGGATGAAAAACTCTCAGTGACCATTATAATCAGAAATAATCATTGAAAATATTTGTCACCGATTTTATCAATATGTTTATCAATAACCCATTTCCTGTAGTGAAGAGAGGAGACAATGAACAACAAGTCAAACAATTATAACCGTGGCAAGATGCTTGAAGCATAATGCACAGAACATCCGGTTACAGAGTTTATTTATAGAGGGATTGTGTGTGTGTTTGCGGGAAGTCAAGAATGTGTGTGTGTGTGTGTGTGTGTGTGTGTGTGTGTGTGTGTGTGTGTGTGTGTGTGTGTGTGTGTGTGAGTGGCTTGTGTGGGTGTGTCTGAATGAGTGAGCATGCAGAGAGGCATAGAGCAATACATTTACATTCAGTTGGTTGAGTCCATGATCATGAATTAATAAACATAAGTTTTTCCATAACAATGTTTTTTTCAGTGAACCACACCTTTAACATTGTGTGTCATTTCACCCATCTTATCAAAACTTCTATAACGAGTCAACAGTAAAAGACCAAAGCCCAGACCCGTGTGACTTTTACTGCTAAAACTTCAGCCTGTTTGTAAATTATGTAAAATAGATTACCAGGAAAAATAATAAAAATAGAAATTTCAATAAAAGAGAGACAGAAGTTTAGTAAACTTTATTTTTTATCAGTTTGTTTCAAATGAAAGGAAAAGTGAGAACAAATGAAACGCTCTGTGGAAGGCACAGCCACAATAAAAGCCAAAGGCATTTTCAACCATTGTGTTTACAAACCAGTGGCATCACCCAGTACAGGTCATATTACTAACTTGTGCTTTTAACAGTGTTTATATAGGCAGCATCTTTTTGTGCTCATTTATTAGCTATTGTCCTTAATGCATTCTCTATTATCTGTGCAGGGTTTGTTTTTGTGACCATTTCTCTATAAATAGCTTCTGAAAAGAACACTGTTTTATGACAACAGATGATACTAAAAGCTTGTTTTCTTCATTAGCTTTTGCAATGTGGTTGAAAGTCGTGCTTCCATTTGAGCACAGAGAGAGCGAATTATGAGAGGAAATGTACGCTATCGATGTCCTAAAAAACAGAAAACTCAAGAATACACAGACAAATATAGAATCTGCTAGCGTGGCTTATTTCCCTACGTTTCCATGGTTATCTTATTTTGAAGCCTTCAGTAACAGAGGAAGTATTATTTAAAGCACACGAATGCAAATCAGTAACAATCCGATGTGTGTGGTTTGAACGAGAGCAACAAACGAAAGCAATGTATTTCTGCAGTAAGACATTAAAGTTTTACATGTTTGTGGCACCAGCAGAAGGTAGCACATGGAGGCACAACTAATGAAGAGCTAATGTAAAAAAAGTTGGTAAAAGCCCGCTGCAATTTGAGTAATTATCAGAAAAGCAAAGCTAAGATCTGCAGGGCTCTGCTGCCACACGGGCTCCAATTTTTCCCACACAGACGTCCAGAATTACCCACAACTACACACACACACACACACACACACACACACACACACACACACACACACACACACACACACACACACACACACACACACACACACACACACACACATTAACAATAACAATGGTATTAAGCACTGCATCCACTAGAAAGTCCCCTCCTAATATTCCCAGAGGGTGGCGCTGTCCAGGGAGTCTGCATTGGCCTTCAGCCCTCCAGCGTGGTCACCTTTAAGGTATTTCCCTCCAAGAGCTCGAATGGCCATCTTGTTGAGATCACAGAACTCAAGAAGAAACTGGACAGGTGTGGAGCTGCTGCACACGACTGCTGAGCCGTCTTCAACGCACCAGTACTTCCCCTGAGAGTCTGGACAAACAACACACTCAATGAACTCTGGCTCACACACACATAGATGGACAAACCTGTCGGGGGGGGGGGGGGGGGGGGGGGTTCTGTTGAAAAGGTTTTCATTGGATTTCCCAAAAGGAATCTGTCAAATGTTTTCAACACTGTAACGGTCTTATTCAATTTTACAGATGACGCTAGGCTCATATGAGACCATTAAACGTCCCATCATTGTTGAAGTAATGGAGAGTTTCTGATGGCTGGTCAATATGGACAGAGTTACTCCCATTACATATTTATATATTGACTTCCTCTGAAGTAAAGTAAAATCCATCGAAATTTGGTCTACCATCTCAAAGAGCCACTATGTCTGAAACCAAATCAAATCACCAGTAAAGCAGCAATATGGAGTTTTCCCTCTTTCAGTTATTATGTATGACTATTTTAAAAATCTGTAAAATTTACATCAAGTAGACACTACGTCAATTAATTTGCTAAGCCAGCCGCCTATGCAATTTGAATTGAGGGCTGCCCAGCATTAGCCAATAGTAATCAAGTATATTTAGACTAAACAAAAACCTGCCTGAACCGTCTGCAGGTGGTTCAGAATGTCTGTGCTCGGCTTCTGACCTCATCACCCCACTTCTCCAGCTTCACTGGCTACCAGTCAACTTCAGGGTTCATTTCAACATCCTGGTTCTGGTCTATAAGGCCTTACATGGACAAGCACCATCTTACATTGGTGATCATCTCAGTCCCTACACTCCCAGCAGGTCCCTGAGCTCCAGTGATCAAAGCCTACTGGTTGTGCAGCGCACCAGGCTAAAGACCAAAGGTGACAGATCATTTGATGCTGTGGCCCCCAGACTCTGGAACTCTCTCCCCCTGAACCTGAGAGCAGTGGACTCAGTGGACTCCTTTAAAAAGCAGCTGAAAACTCACCTGTTCAAGCTGGCTTACCACACTCTCTTTGTTCTGCTCTTTCTACCAACTCTGCTCATCCCAAGATCCACAGATTCTCCTCTTTCCTATTCATTTTTGCTTTCTCTTTCTTGACATTTGTTACAGCCCAGCTCGTGGGACTGCAACAAAAGGAGGAGGTCAGGACACAAGGTTAATATTTAAGAGTATTTTTTTTTATTAAAACCAAGCCTCTAAAAGGTGGCACCAAAAAAAATGCCACACAGGCAAGAGCTACCAAAGGTGCTCCCTCTGATCAGCCTCAACTTCTCATCCTCCTGAGTCTCTCCAACTTGCACTTAGCAGCCTTTTTTGGCTGCACAGGTGCAGCCATTCATCAAAAAAAAAAAAATCCAGGCTGCACACAGCCACACCAATAATAAAGCAGAAGGGCTTCGGCAGAAACATCTGAAGCAGCCAATCAACAGGTTGCACTGGCACAGCAGTCCCTTAAGAGGATGGGTTCTTGTTTTCTTCCATTAGCAGGAGTTGTAACACATTTTTAATCCCAGTTATTTATTTATCAATTTAATTATATTTTTAAATCTTTTTTTTAAATATTTATTATATTTTAAATTTTTGTTCTTGTGAACCGCCTCGTGATTTTTATCTTGAGAGGCGCTATATAAAAGATTGTTTTCATTTCAAAAGTGTGTGTGTGTGTGTGTGTGTGTGTGTGTGTGTGTGTGTGTGTGTGTGTGTGTGTGTGTGTGTGTGTGTGTGTGTGTGAGCGGGGGATATGGAGAAATGGTGATCCCAATTTTACACAAATGTTTATAATGACTGATCACTAGCTTTCAAAATAACATAACATTCTACCTAAAAATAAAATAAAATACAACTAAAACATTTGAATGGATCCAAACTGCCTTGTGGGGGCATTGGGATGGCATGTCCCCCATCCCCACTAAAACTTTGTCTATGGCCAAAAGCGCTAGACATCCACTTACATACAATCGCTTGCATGTCAATTACAGAGTGTGCGTGCACATTTGCAGAAGTACCACACTGCTTAATGTGCAATACATATTCCCTCCTCTAGATGGTGCCTTTTGAGGGAAAAAAACGCAGGATTTCTCTTTTAGGCCGGGGACACACCGGCTGCCGAAGCGCCGCGAAATGGGGACCGCCTTCATTCGGCGCCCTTGTTGTCCTATTTTATAGACCAAAGCGCCGCACGCCGGCGCTCCAGCCCGCGCCATGCAGCAGTCGTTTCGGCGTCTGCTCTATTTTTTTCGCAAGTCGCGGGTGAACCGCGCCAATTCTGGCAGGAAGTAAAACCTAGACATATGAGGCAGGCCGGTAAATTTAACAAAATAAAGCATTTCAAAATGCAATTCCGCGATAGTCAAATGTGTTCGTAAACAGATTCTGCATAAAAACCACACACACACACACACACACACAGCGAACTTGTGTGTGTGTGACCACGTGAAGGGGGTGTGGTTTTGGGTGTCTTTCAACCTGAGCAAACAGGACAGAGAGGCAGAAAGTCGTAGGCCAGCTATTAACAACTGGTTCACACAATTTATGTCGATGGTTCACACACACACACACACACACACACACGTACAAACCATCAACATAAATATACTGGACATCTCCTTTCCATAGGCTCCAATAGTCCTTCAAACACATCTCTGATCTTTGCATCTTATAATACAAACTTTTCTGATGCAAAACAAACTAAAGATTGGCACCTTTTTATAAATAGTTGATTTCTGGTGTCTTTGCATTACTCACCTTTCAGGGAATAAGCACCGTTGTGGAACTCTAACTGGAAAACATCATAGGATGCTCGGTTAGAGTCCAGGGTTGGAAGTCCTGCTTTACGAGCCCCAATGAAACCATGCTCCCCACGGAGAACGATGATTGGACGGTTAATCAGCTTCATCAGGAACTGTTCAGCTTCCCCTTAAGACATAAGTAGATAGGAGCTGTGTCTCAGATAATGGACTTGTCTTTCTTCCTGATACACACATATTTTTACTAGTGTTTCAGTTCATGTATGAACACTCAATCGTGTTATTGTGAGTGCAGTATACATCCCATTAAATGTGCCTGAATGGAAACTATGATTCCTCTTCATGGAGTTTGAAAGATATCAGATACACGACTGACCTGCACTGTCAACAGCAGCAGCTAACTGTCCGTTCTTTTTTGCAATCACATATTTGCCGTTGGCTGCACGAACACAGACGCGACCTTCACTCCACTCCAATTCAAAGTAACTGTCGGCAGATCTGAAAAAGAAAAAATTAACACCCATTCCACATACAGGCTTTCTGTATTATGCAGAATCTTTGTACTGTTCAGATTACTTGGAGGAGGCAGTGCACTGCAGTCCCCCTGTTGCTGTCAGTGTCCAGTATTTCCCAGCAGCAGTTCTGAAGGCACACTTCCTGTCTTCACGGTTCATCTCCAACTGGAACACTTCCTGGTCACCTTCCTCATTCTGATTGGCTGACAGGTCCATGCCTGGAAAATGAAGCAATCTGTTATCAGTTTAAACTTTTTTAACACTCTCCCTACACCAATCCTTAACCATTTAGCCCTATGTTTTCTGCGGAAATCGACAGAGGCGACTTGTGTCAAAAATAGCACTTGCTTTAGCGACGCTTCTGAGATGCACCTGAAAGTTTCTGCATTGCAGCCTGCTTGAATCACCCCTACAGACAAGGATTCTATTTGAAGCACCAACACTTTGCTTCTGCACCGCTGATGCTTGCAGTGTGAAGTAGGGATTAAGATCAGAAATCCCTGAGCGCACCCTCCAGCAAAATAACAAGCACATCAGACTCCCTTTCATCACTGGCAACAAGTGAAGATGTAAATGTGTAAAGCAACATTTAGGAATGATGGAAGTTTTGTAACCGCTTGTTACAAATCAGTAAATGCATTATGTCCTCACAGGCTTCCATAGAAGGAAAAACTGCATCTATTTTGGGTTTTCCCAGAGATTTAGACCAGCTCCCATTTTAAAGCCAATTTTTGTGGTTATATGTTTTGAAGCTGCAAATATTTTTCATCATCATCACTGGGCATAATTTAATTCATTTTCAGCAACATTTCAATGGATGTTAGAGATTAATGTTAAAAACTATAAATTGCCTCTTTTAGAAAATTAGAAAAAGAATAATTTTGTTCTTCTTCTATGGTGTTTGGCGTACTGCTCTGTTCAATGATTTCCATAGCTCTGATTAGTTCTAGTGCTGTCCAGTTGCTACAGAGTCAGTTTGAAAGTATTCTGCTCCATGACCGAGCTGTCTCTGTCTAGAGTATATTTACATATGGCTGGCTTGCAAAATAACATACAACAGAACATTAGCAAATAAATCATTTGGTTTTAAAACAACATATTGTTATTACATCATATTTCATGCTGGATTAAGCATGAAAAGAGTTTAAAGTTTCTAAACTGTGTCAGATTTAGACTTTCAATTAATTCACCGTTTTTGTTTCATTAATGTCATGTGCCGATTAAACTAATTTTAAGAGGGTCACACATGTCTCTGCTTTCATTCCTATTGTCTTGTCTTCCTTCTGCAATCTGCCTTCACAGCAATGCTCATGCACACACACCCACATACACGCACACTGTAATAGATCTCTCCCATATATGCATGGCAACAGCAGAACGTGGCTATGAAAAATTAGGTCTATAACCCCCATTCACCACGCCTGAGTCACACCTCACCTTTTGAAGCCCCCTTTGTCCTAAAAAAGGGTTCCTTTATACACAAGTTTATCTGTTTTATCCATGAGCCTATAAAGATGACATATAATGTTATTTGTGCGCTGAGGCAGACCCTGGTCTGCAGAAACCACATAGGTTTAGAATTACTGCAGAAAAATGCAAAAGCTGGCCAAAACGAGCATGGCAATGAAAAACACATGCGGCAGCAATATTTTAGTTCTCTAACACACAGCTGCCTCTGGTTTGTGCCCAGTTATGCAGTGACTTCATATATTTGTTGATTTTTTTCTCCTAACCTTGCCTCGTGGAGACGTTTTTCTCGTTGCCCGCAGTCAGAACGACCTGCGCGTGGCTGCGCTCCAAGCCAAACAGTTCATCCTTCCCCACCCGCGCGCTCTTCCCAGACTTCATTGTCCCGGTGGGGCCCACGGGTGCCAGGTAGCGGCTGCTGCAGTCACGGAATGCCACCTTCCCGTACAGGAACTCCAGCATGTAGCCGGTGTCCTTGTCCGTGCTGGTGGACAGACAGCCGTCGTTGCGCAGGAAGCGGTTGTCTGCGGTCTCCAAATGGTACCGCTGATCTTTGTAGACAAGGGTCACCAAAGAATCGAGCCCCCAGGGGACATCCCTGTCAATTGACACCTCCTGCGCGCTCAGGTGGGCGAAGCGTTTGCGCGCAAAGCTGTATATGTTGACCTGCGGGTGCACGGCCAGGTGCATGCTCCATTTCTCCGCAGGTGAAGTAGTCTGCGCAAAACAGGTGATCCTGTCCTCGCTGCCGCCTAGGAAGCGGCCGTGAGGCTCGGACTGCAGCGACCACCGCCCGTCTTCATGCGCCGTGATGACAAAGCGGCAGTCCAGGCCTCGCGTCTCGCTGTCCGCGGTCACGTTGCCGTCTTTGTCTGTGGCCAGGTAGCGGCCCAGGTGGGACATTAGGAATACGGCGTTGCCATCCTCCCCAGTCTGCTCCAAAGTCCAGGTCTGCTTCTTCTTCAGGCTGCTGGCCGAGGCGTTGATGTTGAAACCAAAGGTCTCGGCTGTCAGGTACTTCCCCGCGTTGTTGATGAGCCCCAGAGGGATCTGCAGCAAATTCCCGTCGGCGCAGAGAGAAGACATGATTGGGGGAGAAAAAGAAAAGAGGAGCGATGGAGAGCTTGGTGACAAAGAGAGAATCTAAGGAGCTTTACCAGCAAAATGAAAGAGAGAGAGAGAAAGAGGGAGGGAGCAGCTCTGACAGATGATGATGACAAAGGTCCAGACTATACAAATCCACACTGCCTCTGCTGCAGGACTGTGATTTCTCTGCAAGTGCACGCCCATCTGCAGAAGCAAGAGGGTGATGGATGCAATTTTAGCACCCCACCCACCCCACCTCTGTCTGTGTGCAAACATGAGCAGCCTCCCAATTAACGTTTTGTTTTTCATTTAATTGACTTGCCATTTCCACCTGTAATATGTCATTTGTTCATTAAATACTGCCAGAACTTTGGACTAGTTCAATTTAACTGCATTCTTTTAGATCATGGAAATGGTTTGTGTGCAACAGACAAAGGATGCGTTATTTCCTTCTCAAGTCTGCTGTTCTGCAGCCTCGATCAAAAACGTCCAGAATGACCTAAAATAAAGAGAATCACATGTATTTGCTAATTTGTCAATCTAGTGGTGACAACTTGTCACACTTGCTTCATCCCAGTCCTTCTCCCTTTTTTTGTCAGAACAATAAAACACATGTTGCCCTCTCATATTGCTGCTCTCGTTGTAATCAGTTTCCCATCCCCTGTTCTTGCCACCACTGCCCAAAGCTTCCTGCCTGCACGTCACCTTTATTTACCTTGGAAAGACTAAATGGGTGTGGTGTTTCTTTTTTACTTTCCATGCAATGATAATAAAAGCAGGCATAGTGTCACTTGCAGTCAGATGGAGCACTTTAAGCCTCTGTAATGTTGTTATGATGTGAAATGATCTAAAGTTTTTTTTATTTATTTAATGGATATGCAGCACCATTATCTGCTTTAAATTTAAGTATCAAGCTGTAAAACATAGCTCCACTGACGTTGCCTCGTCATAAAACGGAATTTATAATTTGAAGCATTTTTACACACCCTCTCACAATTTCAAGTCAATAGAATAAAAATATTAATGAGTTCAAAGGAAGCTCATTTGTATAGATTTGCATGCAGCAACATTTCCCTGTCGATAGTCAAACAAATGACGCGCCATCAGGTCTCGCAACAGCTGCACAATCCCAAAAAAGATGGAGCGATGAAGCTCATAGGTACACCACAAGCACAGTTCAGTGGTGCAGCACTGTTGCATCGCATCAAGAAAGTTGCAGGTTCAAATCCCTGTGGCCTTTCAGCATGGAGTTAGAATTCTCTTCCATCCATACGTGGAGTTTCTCTGCTCCAGCTGCCTCCCACAGACAAAAACATGCATTTAGGTCAAAAGGCAATCTTGATTGCCCCCAGGTGTGAGTGAGGTTGTTTGTCTGTGATGGACTGGTGAACTTTCCCATGGTCCTGCCAGCTCCCCACAACCCTGACGAAGGTAAAGGGAAAGACTGAGAGAGTGAAACATGCTTTCTGGAAGCCTTTTCCTTGGCTGCTTTTTCACTTTGAGGTACTTTGAGATGTGAATCAAGTCAAGTAAGGTGAACACGGTGGGACATAAGTACAGAAAGCAGGGAGAAAAATGTGAAAGTAGGCCATGAGGAAGCTGAAACAGGTTGTTCTTTCTTTAGGCAACAGCGCCCCCGTCTGGATTTTCAAAGTAAAGCAGCATGGTGGGAGATATCGGATAAAAGGGGGCAGAAGAATAAATGAATGAGCCAAGAGTAAAGTATTTATGAAAATGTTTAAATATATTTTTGGCTAATTGGTATAAAATACAGCTTTCTCTACACACCACGACAGATCGGTGCAGCGCCTGCATCACTGCAGACACAGCACTAATCCGCCTATTGATCTCACGCTCAATTTTTCCCAAAACGAATCAAATAAATGACTAATCTTTTCAAACCTGCAAATGCATAAGAAATATAAACACGAAACTACTACAGATAACCTGTTTTGATACTGACCATTTTTATTGGCATAGCCTATTACAGTTTTTCTCAGTCGCTTTGGTGCGTTTCTCAGAACACTATTAACATTTGCACAGCAGTTAGTGCATTTCTCAAAACAATTAGTGCAAACTGCAAAACCTAGTGGATAGCCTGCAAAAGCACGTCACATGCTCAAAGTTGATAATCCATTCCTCAAAAGCAAGTATTCATGTCAATGAAACTGTCAGTGCCATCAAAATAAAAAGTCTTGACACCATCTTTATGAACAAGATAGTCAAATGGCTTTGTCATGTTTTCACTATGACAGTTTATAATTTCAGTGTTTTCCATTGCAAGAATATTTGGTGACACCTGAAAATGCTCAAGACAGCACTATGCCCTACTTGTACAGCCATTTGAAATGTGCAGTAAAGTTACTGTAGATGTTATGGGAGTTTTGGGAGTGACAGAGACACTGAATACGTCCGTTTTACATTTTTACTGTACAGAAGTGTTTGTAATTCTACAGCATTGTGCAAAAGAAAAATATGCTACAGTCACTTGTTTACTGTAGAATACACGTAAACATAAAATCACCCTTTTGGTAGAGCTGTGCACAAATGTGAACAATATACAGTACATGTAACAGTACATACAGTATTGCACAGTACTGTAACATACAGGTACAGTAAATCATTCTGGCACATCCAGACGTTCCTGTCTGTCTGGCCACAAATTTTCATCTACATCACAGCGGATGCAGCGAGGAATGTATCTCCTGGAGTGGCAAATCCATCCTCTGCAGGACTCTGCTGTGATGTCATCACAAGTTGCATCCATAGCTGCTAGCAGGGCCATTTGGGTATGTGGATGCCTGTCATATACCTTCCACCTCCAGGAAGAGAAAATCTCCTCAACTGGATTTAGGAATGGAGTGTAAGGAGGAAGAAACTCCATAAGCATCCCGTCATGTGCTGCAAACCACTGCCTGACTACAGCTGAGTGATGGAAGCTAACCTTATCCCAAACCACTACACACATTGTCCGATTGTCACCAGGACACACACCAATTTTCATTTGTGTGAGATAAGGTTCACCTGAGAACAGTAATTTATGGAGATTTCCATGGAAACTCCTTAAAAATAGGGTTTTCAAAATGGGTGTACAAACTGTTTGACAAGATGTTCAACAATTTTGAGTGCAATGACACAAAAAATGAAATGAAGACTATTAGTTGTAAGGACAATGACTATTCAGCCGGTACAAGTATAAATAATTGTGACATTCATGATAAAAGCAAGGAGATAGTGATGAATAGCAAGTCAAAAGTGACCATTCTTTACACATTTGTACTTACTCATTTGCCTTTGGACGAAATGAACATGAAACCGCCACTAGGTTGTGCCAAATCAACTACTTGTTGTGGAGGTTGAACTAACTGTTGTGCAAAGTTTAATTCTGTTGTGAGAAATGCACCAAAGCAACAGAGAAAAACTGTAATTATTTTGGTTTATGCTTGCAACTAAGCAAAACGCAGATACAGTCTAATGGAACATCTCTGACAGCTGACAACCACCTCTGAATGCAAGCAGAATGGTGTACGTTTAAGTTTATTGCACGAACGTCAAACCATTTTTCAGAGGAGAAAACTAATGATGATGCTTTTCCACCTTATGATTGTGTTAGGACAGACTTCTGTTTTCATAGGCTTTTGGAAACAGAATAACCCCAACTTGCAAGATCTCAGATCATTTTTAAGGACTTATTAGTCTGACAGAAGAGCTGATTGTTACTTTGCCTGTTGAAAATTCCTCTCATGTATCACTTATATTGTTGCTATTAAGTAAGCATGAATAAAACACAAATTTAGACAGCAATCACTTCTATTGTGTGCACAAAAACAGAGATTTATTAAAACAACTGATGGGTTTCCAGCAACATCGTCAAAACTGCCAAACTGGTTTTATTCATTAAGCTGTCAATTTCTATGACTACAAAAGCATTAAACTATATAACATGTGTGAGTGGTTTTGTGAGCAGATCAGCCTGGTGTAGTGGCTCCAGGGGTCCACCACCTATACAAACAGTGAGCATCAGAATATGATACAGAAACCAGAGGTCATTGGGTTCACTCTAGGCTTACAGAGGAAGAGTTTCAACAGGTTTTTAATTATAACCCCAAACTATGAGCAGAATCAAACATAATAAACTTTACGGGGAAAAAATGACAGTGCAAGAAATCCAATATATTCATAGTCATTCTCAAATCTGGACTTTTATGAAGTTGGGAAATTCTTTAAAAAACCGAGAGAATTACAGCATAACTTGGAAACTTGTAGTGTAACGTGTGGTTTTTGTGTATTACAGTTTAATATTACTGTAGATTTTCACAAATTCATTCAATGCGGTCAAACCATCCTTTTTCTCATTGTCTTGTTTGTCTCTTTAAGACCCTCCTGTTTGAGAAAACATGGAATGAAAAACTTGTAGGAAAAAATCTAGCAAGTTAGCTGATGATAAAACTATTTTCTTTTAATATTTTCAAAATAAAAGAAGTGGATCACCATTTATTTTAATAATTCAAACATTTTATGTGATACAAATTATTCAAAAGAAATGTATATAAACTTGTAACTTTCAGATAGAAAATATACATTAATTTTGACGGTTTACCGCATTGTTTTTCGGCTATGCTGTATTTTAGTTTGAAGGTTTACTCAATAACCGGTACGTTTGACTTTCCTTTCGTTAGCTTCAACTCCACAGCTGCCTGGTTGCTAGACGACTATGCCCGCAACACCGTAGCGAAAACACAACCTCTGCTAAGAAGAACGACAGCTCTTCGCTAGTTTTTATAACGTAAACGGTTAATAGTATGTATTTCTACATACGCAGCCTATTACACGGGACGACGTGTAGTTTTCCTAACTAAAATTCCGAGTTGTAGCATAGCTAGCGTGTCTTTTGTAACCCCAATGTTTTTTTATAATTAGCCAGAGCTGAGACGAGCTTTCTGACTGGAGAAAAATGGAGAGAACATTACACAAAGCAAAAGTCGAGTTTTTCAGTTTGACGTAACGTTGATTTTATTTGCGATGTTTAATTCGACTGCTAAGATGTCTTTGGAGGCCAATGATGTTCATTCAGACTGCGAGGATCTGGTGAGACCTTATCAATAAAAATATAACTTTTACTTTGAAATGTCTATGCACATTTTTCTAAACGACAACAAACAAAATGTTAGGGTTATCTGTTGGTAGAAAACGTCATGGAAGAGAGGTAAACGATGATTTAATTTAAGATGAAAACAAACTAAACGAAATAATTGAAAAACACTGATTGAATAACATTCATGTAAAGTCATTCAAGCTATATATCAACACAACTCTTGTCTTTTTCCCCCTTCCAGATTGAAGAGGATTTTTCTCTCCCTGCTGATATTATTTCTGAAAGGGTAAGTTAGACACCTCTATCCCTATCTGATTGCCCTTTATAGGTATTTTCTTGATTTGAACATATGATTTGAGTTTAATAAACCTTGTTTCTCTCCGTTAACTTCTCACATCCGGCAGACACCAAGGAGAAAACAGTCTTCTGGGAAACCTCCTTCTTCTCAAAGTAAAACCTGCTGACCAGATAAGTTGGATATATTTGCATATGCTGCTCTGCTTTACTGATCAACACAATTTTGTGACTCTTTAGGATCACCATACCTCTGCAGTTTGGACCTGAGTTCCAAGAGATCATCGATGGGAACCTGGAGACGACCAAGGGTCTCCTTGGGGGAAACCAGAGGCGACACTTCTGGGGAGAGTGTTTCAGCTTGCCTCACATCCCTCAGCAACGGCCATGGTAAGTACGCAGTGTTACAACACAGTGGAGAAAGAAAGAAAGCATCAGTCCTCAGGAGAGCGTTGTTTCTAGAGCCTGCTGCTTGGAAAAGAGAACAGAGATGGAACAAAACTTCTTCCAGGATAAAACTACTCTCCATGACAGAATGGTGGCTGATGAAAAAATGTTGGTCCATTAGTATTCAAATGAATGGTTGGAGAATGAGTACAAATCCAAACAATCATTCATTTTTCTTCTCCAAATAAGCAGTTTTAAAGAATTTTATTTACATTTAGACTATTAATACTCAAATATACCAGCTTGTGTGATCAGCTGCAGTCCATAGTTTCCATTTTTGTGCATATTCACATATTATTTTGACAATAGTTTGTTTTCCAGCTTGAGTTTTCAGTCGCTGTTTCATAACTGATCATCTACTCAAAGCATAGCCTGGCCTGCCAGACTCCTCCTCTGTTTAATTCTGCACAGCGAAAGGGTCTGGGAACTCTCCAGTTCAAATAACCCCACCCCCTGAGAATTCTAACCGAGCCAATCAGCCCGGAGTTGCGTACGTCTCACACCATAACGCGGAGTTTGTCATATGAACATGGCAACTGAAGCGGAGGTCGCTGCGGCTCTTTCCTCTGTTCTAAATGACTTGAATGTCTTTAAAACCACAACAAGTAGAAGCGCTTAAAGCATTTCTTCTGTTTGTGCCATTGACAGACGCCATTTTTGACTACAGCTAAAAAAATACAGCGTTGCATGGTACAATACACTGATTTATATATTTATATATATATATATATATGTATATATATATATATATATATATATATATATATATATATATTTGTGTGTGTATATATATGTATATATATATGTGTATATATATATATAAATTATATATTTTTTATCAAAAAAATATATATATATAAAATATAAAAATATATATAAATTATATATTTATAATATATATATTTATAATAATATATATAATATAAAAAATATATATAAATTATATATATTTATAATACATATATATAATAATGTATATATATATATATATACACACAAAATATAAAAAATATGTAAATAATATATATATATATATATATATATATATATATATAAATTCCTAGGGCCCTCTGTGGACTAGTCGCCACTACTGACACTATTCCTGCACCTATACAACTAAAACTGAGAGCTAAGAAACAGGCTTCAAAATCTTTAAAGTTCATATAGTTTATGTTGCTTTATACCTTTATCAGCCTTATGCATTTACATAAATCCACTTATGTAAAACCTCCATAAACATAAAGGGCTGACAATTAAAATGAGCAACAATGTTAAATATAGTAGTCAAAGAAATAGAAGAATTGTCCAAAGTCACTTAAAGTAACGAGTTCATGCAGATGGATTAAAAGTCTTTATGTCAGGAACGTTTATCTTTTCAGACGGGTCTCACACACTGGCTTCAGAGGCTGAACAGAAACCGAGCATCAGGAAACACAGATCTCTCCACTTTGAATCCAATGGTGAGTGAACATGTGGGTTTGTTAGAATGAGAGATTTAGTGATGCAAAGTGGAGGTAGGAGAAATGGAAGGCCAGAGTTTGTGTTAATCAGCAGTTTGTGCAGAACAGCAGATATTATGAGGCGGCTTGTGTTCCACAGCTATCATTAAGTAAAGCTGATGTTTGTAGTAATGTACGGTGTTTCTGTTGGTTTCCTTGCTGTTCAGGCTTCACTGCTGGTGTAGGAGAGCACATGAAGAAGGAGGACATGTATGATGAGATCATTCGTCTTAAGAAGGTAAACAGCTAAACAACCTTTTTTTTAAATAAATAGGGCACTTTTAAAGTCAGCTAAGTGTTGTCTATTGGATCAAAATGAGATTTATTTGTCTTTTTTAGGAAAACGGTCATCAATGGTTGCATTACCCCCTCAAAGCAATTTACATTTCAGTGACAGTTGTAAGGTTTATTTAGATTTGTCACATGAGGCATCTTTTATATTCGTAATAAACAGAACTGTTTTTGTCAGAGTCTTCATTTTCAGAAGTCTGATAACCAGCAGATGAAAGTCAAACTACGGCGCCTGGAGGAAGAAAACGCTAAAAGAGAAAGACAGATTGAAGAACTGTTGGACCCCACAAAGGTGCGGAGCAAAGTCACTTCAGTATGATGTCACAGATGTTATTAATTTAAAGTATGACGTGTCTTTGTAGGGATCTGAATATACTCACAGCTTAGTGGATAAGAAAAGAGAGGGGAGTGTGGTGAGTACACCCGGTGTGTCGCGAGTAAATACACGAGAAGTCATTTTAGAATTTTTATCGATCAGCTTATTAAACCAAATCTGTCTGTTTAGGTTGTAAATGGGCTGAAGCAGAGAATCCTGAAACTGGAGCAACAGTGTAGAGAGAAAGGAAATGCCTTGAGGTACCATCCTCCTCTACATGTTGTTTAGCTGGTTTTAATCTTTTTTTTTTTAGATTTCACCTTATTTTTCTCTCCAGTAAATTACAAAGTGAGCTGAGAACCACCAGCCTGGAGGAGCTGAAAATCACTGTGGAAACTTACTTTGAAGAGGTGATAAAATAAGAGATTTTGTCATTCTGGAACTGTTAGCTAGCAAAAATAACACGCCGTGCCCGTCCATTTTCAGATTCAGAGGCTGGGGATGCTTCTAGAGGCAGCAGAGAAAAGGTGGGCATACCTGAAACTCAGAACAGACTAACAAATAAAATTCACCATCACCCCTGCTGTGTCTGTAGCAGTCGAGCAGAGAGTAAATGCTCCCAGCGGCAGCAGAAGGTCCTGAGCTCCACCGTCCAGCGTCTGGCGGAGAACCTGAAGCAGCTTCAACAGGAGAACGCAGCGCTGAGAGAGGAGCTCAACACTGACAGTCCTGCTGGAGGAATTAAAGGTTCTTACCAACCTGTCTCCATGTTTTAGCAAACAAGGTCCTTTTTTTTGTCCTTTGAAACTGGTTTCTCTTCTTTTCACACGTCAAAACTCTTGCTTCAGTTATCCAAACAATATTTTTTGTGCCTCATAGGTGTGATCACATAGTAACGGATCAATTCATGAATCCCATCTCAGAAAACCACTTATTCTCTGCAGTAAGGATGAAGAAAACATTCATGTGTGATTGTGTCTCCTAGGTTACAGAGAGTGGAGTAAACAGAGACTGCTGAGGAGGCTGTTAGAGCTGGAGAAGGTAAGAGGAAACTAACTTATTGTTCAGGTGAACACGTGCAGCCACCTGCGATCGAGGCTTTGTCACAAACAGACTCCACTCTCCTCCAATCAGAGGCTGGGGTGCAGCAGAAGACACGCCCAGTCTGCAAAAAGCAGCACTAGATTGGATAAGGAGGTCCAGGCCACGCTCACAGCAGCGCCGAGGTTTACCATGGCAACAGAGATGGCAGTCTCCGTGGGAACCGTCACCGAGGAAGCTGAGGAGATTTCTGGTCAGAGCAATCACCTCAGCCAACTGGAGAAGGACAAGGTGGAACTACAAGAGCTGCTGTCATGTAAAGAGTGAGTTACATGTCAGGTCACATTGATCAACTTATTTATGACATCATTCACAACATGTTTGCTTTAGCCGGAAATAGTCAACATAAAACCGAGAAGAAACGGCTTCGGGGTATTTAGGTGTCCACAGAAGGATCCCAGCTTCACGTTTTCAGGCTTTTGGACTTTTTATCTTAGTAACACTGAAAATAAAATGGAAAACTGATTTAAAACCTATGTTGGGGCTTTCGATATCCCTGCAACCTCAGGATCGAATCAACAGACAACTGGAGCCAAAGTTAGTTTTACTCTGCAGAGGAGTACAGTGGAAATTTTCACACCAGCACTGAAATCTCACTTCATCGTCCAGTCATTGACAGAGAGCTTCATTTGCATAAGCAGTTGTCAGGGCATTGCCTGCACTCAAACAGAAAACCACCTCCACACGAGGCAAAGGAGAAAACCATGTGTGGTGTGTAACTGTGATGGTATCTGTTAAAAACAAGTCCTGTTTACCTGTTTACCTGTTTACTAAGAAAGTTCGGTTTACTTGCAGTCTCTAAGTTTCCATTTGAGACTTATATAGCATAATAAGCTTTATTGTCTCTAACAACCTACATTTACATTTTTTAAATTAATAATTTCAAAGAAACTTGAAAGAGATCAAATTATTAGGTCTTTTTTTAAGTAGTTGACACAGTCATGGAATCATTTTGCACTTTAGAGAACTTTTAAAGGAAGAATCCGAGAATGCACTGGACGCTTTCAATCCAGAAGGAAAGGAATATATGACACCTTGTCAACGAGCCAGGTCTCTTTGGGACAGTGTCATGGCCGACCGTCAGCTTCAGTCTCAGTCAGATAAAATAATGGATAAAGGTCTAAAAGGATCTGTGTGACAAAGTTGGTGCTGAAAAAACAAAACTATTTTTAGGTCAAAGTTACTAGCTTATGATCAAAATATTCAGTTATTAAATAATTGTGTTTTTTTACCAGTGACTGGAAGAAACTGAACAGTGTTTGTGTTTCCAGTGAGGAATTATCGCAGCTGAGAGCAGAAAGAGACGAGCTGCAGAGACAGACACAACGGCTGAAAGCTGAGCACAAACAACAGATGGACCACAAGAAACAGCAGCATAGGTAATATTATTTAGCTTTTGTATTTCTCAGCAGCAAAAATGAATTTATTACGCCCAACATTTCTAAAACTCACCTCTCGATAAGCGTTGCATGCTCCTGCAAGCACCAGGCAACATGATCACCTTTATCATATATTTTTACTTCAGTGTTCTGTTGCTCAGCATCATATCTGATCTCATGAACAAGTAACATTAAGAAGTCGCTATATTTCATCTGTTCAAGTGTTGCTTTTGTGATGTAAGACAGGAGTTGGAGCATTTGAGGACAAGGAGTCAAACTCTGGAGGAGGAGAGAAACAAACTTGTGACGGCTGAGCTCTCCCCTCCTCCTCCTCCTCCTCCTCCTCCCATGGTGGCAGAGAATCATGAAGACACTCAGGAGGAGGTAGAACAGATGGATACTGGGTGTAAGGAAAAGGAGGTGGATGGAAATGAAGAACACAGGACTGATGCTGAGACAAGAAAACGAGAAAAGGCAGCTTTGGTCATCCAGACAACATGGAGGCAGCACAGACAGAGCGTATGTAACCTACTACTGAGATGATTATATCAGAACTCTCCAGACAGAATCTCCTTTTTTCTTTTGTCTCCACGTTTGTCTTAAAAGTGTTTCTTCTGCAGGACATTGTGATGTTGCAGTCAGCTTTAAGAGGACATGTCTTCAGAGAGTCACAGCTGAAGGTTCTTATGAGAGAGCCCCAGGAGAAGGTTTTACACCCATCTATATATGCAGAGAAGCAAAAACACGCTACAAAAATGTCACAACACATCTAAATCGCTCTGTATTTTGTCCACGTTGGACACCGTACTTCTACCAAAAGTCGTAGCACGGTGTTCAGGTGTATAATTTTCATGTTTCCGTTTTCCCAAAAGCTGCGAGGTGTAGAAAATGTGACGATATCAAGAAGACATTAGCAATGAGGTGCTTTGATGTTCATCAGTTCCCTTCAAAAATGTAACTTTTGTTAAGGCGCTGAGATGATTTGTTGCTCTGGTGTTTCCTGTTAGATCGATGTAGCGACGTGTTTTAAGAGTAAAAGACTGGAGCTCAGTGGATCCAACTCCAAAATTAGAACAAACGATGAGTAAATATAGACACTGAACACCAATGAGATTTAAAGGGATGTTCTCAAACAAACCTGCGTTAGCATGCAGAAAAAGCTCTAAAAGTATATATTGTGTGTATTTTATTTGACTTTTTACCATTTCTGTGTCATCTTCTTTGTTCAGGCTTTGGAATCTTTAAAGTTCACCAACAGCATCGATGGAGCCGTGGATGAGGTTGCCTTGACGATGATACAGTCTGCCTTCAGGGGACACCTGGCTCGTTGTCCAGCAATAAAACGGTTACTCACTTAAGCACACACTTTTATTCAACTAAAGACTTTTAAACCAGGATGTGTTTTCAGGATTATTCGTGTGTTTGTGCTTTAGCTCAGGAATTGCTTCTCCAGCTGAAAACAGTCTGCCTCTGGTTCCAGAAAGGCCGGTCCTAACACACAGCCACAGTGCAGGTGAGGCTTACTGTTCTAGTTTTATTTGCTTGCTGAGAAATCTAAGCAGGATGTGAAATAAAGGATTATATATATCTGCCACTTTTTATTTTCTGTGGTGAGTGATGCTGGATAATTTGTCTACGATAGGAAATACTCTTCCAGCCAGTCTGGGTTCAGCCTTGATGCACATTTAGTGTGCATCACTGTGCTCTTAACCTCACAGCTCTTCTTCATTACTCCCCTGACACCTGTTATAAGAAGGGATGGATCTAGCCGACACGCGGGTCTAATTCAATGATGGCTGTCTCTTCTTTACCGGCCAGAACGTTAATAGCCTCATGTCAAAGACTGATGAGGACACTCAGCAGACCTGCAGAACTGTAGTGGTGTCATATTCCTTATGACCCCAGAAAGATCTATAACTGCTGCAGAAACAGGTCCTTGTCCTCTTTGCTCCCTGAGCTTTGATCAGCATACGGGTGCACAGAGCAGAACCGTGATGTCAGCATGTTTCCTGCATGCTTACAAGTCTGCCTCTGCATCGGATGTGTGCTGGGTTCTTGTTTAGTCTGCAGCTCCTTAGCTTGTGTTGCAGCTGAGAAAGATTCTGTGTATTCACATGAGGCGTCGTATAAAGCTCAGGTTTGAATCTTCCAATTTCAGAGCTGACCTGCTACTTGTGTTGTTTTGGTTTGTTTTTGAAGGTTCTGCTTCCCAGAGCTTTGACACTGAAAAGGATCACAAGCAAGAAGACCTCTGGCCTACATATAGCACCACAAACTCCAGGATATCGCAAACCCATGGAACAAGTGTGTACATCAGTTTCTGCTTGTATGTTTTATTAATATGACAGTGGATTGAGTCAGCATAGCTTTATGTTTCCTGTGTCTGTTTCAGCCCAAACAGAACGCCGTTCCACGTCAGAGTTTGATGCTGCAGTCCAGTCAGATGATTCAGATGACATCATTGTATCTCCGTCACGTCCAATGAGAAGCAGAGAAGTTCTGATGTCATAGACCCCCTGTTTTATGTTGGTTTATGTGCTAATAGCCATTTATGTCAGATCATTCCCCACCAAGTCATCCGTTTTCAGCGTTTACTGAATGTTTTACTACTGTAGAAATAGGTGGCACAAGTCCGTTTTAATTTCAAGATCTGACTTTAAAAAGTCTCAAAATACATCAAAGGCATGACCCAATGTTGATGGGATGTGTTCCTTTATATTTGGAGGATAAAAGATTTATAAGATGATAATTAGTCAGCTATCCTTTGTTTTCTTTACTTAAGTAGCACGCAGCATGATTTATGTTAAAACTGCTGCCACAGATACAATAACTCCTGCTAACCTGACAAGCCCGAGTGAAGCAGATTACTGTCAGCTCCTCTGAACACATTTCAGTAGACCTGATATGAAACCCATAAACGTCAGCTGTTGTATGCTTACAGAAATGAATGCTGACACATGAGTTATGACTAGCAGCCGATCCTCATTTGATGCACTATTGAGTCAAACTGTGAATAAATTATAGATCACTCTGCTGCAATACTTACCCATCACTCCCCTGAAGAGTACACTGTCTACTGCTAATGCCCGAGCTTTATAAATGACAGCATGTTTTAAGGGGATCGACTAAAGCAATGGATGAATGAGTGTTGGTAAATGTTTGTAATTTAAAGTAGAATTAAAATACAGTTTTTATATTAACCTTTCTGATGTGACTCTTGACACATTAAGTCATACTTTTTAAAAATAGTTTTTCATCCATATTGTGTGCAGTTGCTACTTATTTGTACATTTCCAAGTAAAATAGGTTTTATTTCTCAGATTGTTCGAGAAACACTGCAAATACACCAAAAGATAATGCAATTTCATGAATTTATTAGAACTTAAAATGACCACCTTGTTACGACTGGTGATGGTATAGGTGAAGGATGTCGTAACATAAAAGGCGCGGGGTCAAGATTTTAAAAACAAACAATTTTATTACAAATGAATGACCAAACTCATGTAAGGCTACTAGATCAGTTAAATACAAGAACTAAAGGTGACCTCCTAAAGAGGGAAAAAACAAGGACTTGAGGGAACACGAAAGCTAAGTCAGAGTAAACTCACAAATTCTGCTATTTCCCTTTTTGGGCTAAAGGCTAAAATCATAGAAAGTAAATGGATCAAGTCCAAACCAAACAAAGAGCGAGCACAGGGCTGTTAAGGTAATGGAAACAAAACAGTAATAATTACTAAATCAAAGCGCTTTTGAGCATACACACCAAATGCAATACTTAAGCCCCACTGAGCACACACAGCCAACAGGTTAAGGAGCAGGAGCGGAGGAGGGGCTGCTCCTCTCTGCAGGGAAGTGGAGCTGGAACAGGAGCATGTAGAAACTGGTGATCATAACAACCTAATAGTACAAATAATGCATATGCACTAATGTATCAATATAAATGTTAAAAAAAATACCACCTATAAAATATGGGTTAAATATTAAATTGCTGTAATGCACAGGTCTTATATTCTCATTTTATTATTGATGCATTAGTTTGTGTCCACGTTTGTAAAAAAATAAAATAAAATGATAATGAAAAACCAATTAGTAAAATATCAAAGAGTTCCCTGATGAAGTTATAGTATAACTTTTATTGTTGTGGTACTATAGCTTGTACTGTCACCATTTCAACACCAGGGGGAGACATCGTTGCCCATTTGCTCTTCAGCAGATTATACGAGCGCGCGCGCACAGACAAGAGGCAGCGGCAGCGCTGCCGCAAAGCCCCATCCTCCGGGGCTTTTTAAAGACCGTGTTTGCTTCACGCTCCAACAATATCACCCAGCTGAAGAGCTGTAACGCTTAAACGCACCGGACCGGCCGTCGTGGGAGCGAGCATAAGCCACTAAAGAGGCCAAAAGCGTCGCCGAAACTGTAATTTAGTTAATCCGTGAATATATTCAGGGCTGCGGGTCAGAGAGTTTAACCCCTAAGCTGCCGGACTGGGGTTAGAAGGACACGAAGGCGTCTTGGTTGAAATGTGAGCAGACCCGCTGCTCCGACAGTCTTTTTTTCTCCAGTTAGATTTAATGAGGTGGGGACTGCAGCCGACTCGTTCGGTACAGCCGCGTTGATGCCGCAGCGGCTGGCTGGCGTGTTCCAAATCCACCTCCGGATCCGGGAAGACAATAGGTGAAGTACGCGCCGCTCTGGACTCCCAAGACTTCTGTTCCGAACGAGCGTCCGCTTTGGGCTCCACTAGGTAAGTCACGTCACCACTCTCATTGTCCGACATGGAGATGTTTGGTCTTCACTCAGACCTGAGGCCAATTTCTTCATTTTCTCCCCCGCGTTGCCTTGACGACTGCGGTGGTTTGATGGACAAAGCGGAACGAGGTTAGGTAATCCGGGTTTTTTTTTTTCAGCCCCTTTTATTGACTGGTGACAATGAATTACCCCCACCGCCGGGATGTTAATGTGAAGGGCTCCCCGGACCGGCCTGACCTACATGTGTTGGTACAGTAAATTCAGGACAATGCATGGCGGTGCGTGGAGCTGCATTTAACGGCTATTTCCACGTCCACACCGGCTGCACGTATATCCCACTTAGCCTGTGTTCTGCACCATGAGGATGCCCATTGGCTCCCAGCCGCAAAATTGACTTCATATTTACCCACGATTTGCATAAAGCCAATGTATCAATTATACAGGGCCTTTGACTGTATTGCAGGTCTTTTACCATTTCAGCGCCACACTCCCAGCGACCTGCAGATGTGTGTCACAGCTGCACTGCTTTCTGTGACAGTAAATTAATTCAGATGGATAAACAGTTCATTGAAACTAGTCATTAAGGAGGTTGAAATAACTTTAGGAGGATTCGCTGTTTGTGTTGACCACAAGTAAGGCATCACATTAGCTTTATAACCATCACTTCTTTCTGAACCAAACGTTTTGGATACTACATCAACATTTTCAGTCTACCATCTGGGTTTAGTAACAGAGAAATGTAAGTTCTGACCCTGCTAAAGCCATTACAGCTCCTTTATTTTCATTGCAGCATCCCTGTGAGGAATCGGGTTAAAGGGGGAAGCGGGAGACAACTTCATCAGAATGGCGGCCGTGGTGAACTATTCTCCACCCTGGTGGGTGAATCTGCTCCACCGGTTACCTCACTTTAACATCGAGTTTCAGACAGTGAGCAGCGATTTCAGACCAGAGGACTCGGAGTATCAGAAGGTAAGAAAAGTGTGTGGGAATAGTCCCTGTTCCAGCTCAGAACTCGTCATCCTCTACATCAGACTGCATCCTGTTATTATCCTGCCACCTGCAGACTTGGTCATTTTCACAGTAGACCATCTGAGTCATCACTGAGGCTCTCCTGTAACCAGAGAGTTGTAAGATCCCCTTTATGCATCGATCAAAGCTATGTGGAGGGGAGGAAAACACTTTGCTGAACCAGAAGTAAACCTACTTGACCATCATGGATAGATTATGAATAGTTTGGTCACAGAGTTTGCACCCGATGCGTGGTTCAGGGCTTCAATCTGAGTAAAACCTAGCGATCCAAGAATCTGATGTGTTTTTCAGTTATTTGTGGATATTCAAATAATGAAACAAGAGCTTATCATGAACTTGACATTATATTTAGGTATAGGAGCTATATTTGATCAATCTGTTTGAAGGGGAGGACATTTACAGGTGTCTGATACTCGGATATCACTCGTAATGGCCTCATATTTAAAACAGAAACTATATAGAATAACATTTCCTTCTTGATTTGCTCTGATTGGTCATTTTCACAGGCTATGTTGTCTCTACTGCTAACTCTGACCATGATGCAGAATTATTTATAAAAGGTTTATAACTGATACTTGAACATTAAACCTGGTTAATCAGAAAGTTCACATGCTTTACATTTACATAGACACTGTAAATGTTTTTTTATTCCAGGCTTTTGAAGTAATTCTATTACTGTTGAACAATTGAACCTTGGAACTCACTCGGTAAAGTGATCCTCAGGTGGTAATTTGAGAAATGTAAGCTTTTGGGACATCAGTGTTAGCCCGCAAGGTTTCAGCACTATTTTAGTGTTTTTTATTAAAAAAATTTTAATCAATTTCCCTCTGGGATTAATAAAGTATTTTTGAATTGAACTGAATTGAATTGAATTATTAATCCATCCATCCATTTTCATCCGCTTATCCGGAGTCGGGTCGCGGGGGCAGTAGCCTAAGGCGAGAGGCCCAGACTTCCCTCTCCCCAGCCACTTGAGCCAGCTCCTCCGGGGAAATCCCAAGGCGTTCCCTGGCCAGGTGAGACATAGTCCCTCCACCGTGTCCTGGGTCTACCTTTAGGTCTCCTCCCGGTTGGACGTGCCCGGAAAACCTCACCAGGGAGGCATCCAGGAGGCATCCTGACCAGATGCCCGAGCCACATCAACTGGCTTCTCTCGATGTGGAGGAGCAGCGGGTCTACTCCGAGCCCCTCCCAAATGACTGAGCTTCTCACCCTATCTCTAAGGGAGAGCCCAGCCACTCTTTGGAGAAAACTCATTTCAGCCGCTTCTATCCGCAATCTCGTTCTTTCGGTCACTACCCAAAGCTAATGACCATAGGTGAGTGTAGGAACGTAGATCGACCGGTAAATCGAGAGCTTCGCCTTCTGACTCAGCTCTCTCTTCACCACGACAAACCGGTACAACGGCCGCATCACTGCAGATCCAGCACCAATCCGCCTATCAATCTCACGCTCCAGTTTTCCCTCACTCGTGATCAAGACCCCGAGATACTTAAACTCCTCCACTTGGGGCAGGACCTCATCCCTGACCCGGAGAAGGCATTCTACCCTTTTCCGAATCAAGACCATGGTCTCAGATTTAGAGGAGCTGATTTTCATCCCAGCTGCTTCACACTTGGCTGCAAACCGCTCCAGCGAAAGCTGAAGATCACGTTCTGATGAAGCCAACAGGACCACATCATCTGCAAAAAGCAGAGACCTGGTCCTCAGGCCACCAAAACGGACGCCCTCTACACCTTGGCTGCGCCTAGAAATCCTGTCCATAAAGGTTATGAACAGAATCGCTGAATCGGTGACAAAGGGCAGCCTTGGTGGAGTCCAACTCTCACTGGGAACGAGCCCGACGTACTGCCAGCAATGAGGACCAAGCTCTGACACCGGTCATACAGGGACCTAACTAGAGGTGCGAATCTTCACTTGTCTCTCGATTGAATTCGATTATGATTATTGGGTCAATGATTCAATTCAATTCGATATTCCGATGCATCACAATTATTTCATATTGATTTATTTTCATCGATAAATAGAAGATGTCAAATAATTGCTTTTTTTTTAAAATTTATTATCAAAAACTTAATTGGCACAACCTGCCATCCCTCAAAAGCTCTCCAATCACAACAGGTTAGGACAAAACATTTTAAACATTTAAGAAGATTTAACAAATTAAAACAATCTGTTTTCTCATTCAACACCACGCCTCAGGCTGAGAAAAACACGCTTTGCAAAAACTCACAAAATCTAAAAAAGAACTGAAAACCTACAGGACACATAATGTAATAATAAAATCCATAATGGGTTCATATATGAGTGTTTAATGTCTCTGAGCAGCTCTAGAGTCAAATATTTATGCCACAGTTGAAGGGTGTCAGAAATAATAACACCAAATGAAATGTTTGACTTAATTTGTTATTTTATTTGAACCCAGCGGTTCATTTCTGAAAAGTTGGAGAATGAATCAAGTTCTGTTTGATGCAGAAAATAATAAAACATAAAACAAATTCTACACTTCCAATAATATTTAAGATGTGTGTTTTATTCTTTCTGATAATAACACCAGCAGAAGGCTGTGGGCTGGATTAGGATTAAATTACCCAGCTGATGGATCTCCTTCACTAACCAGCTAACTACAAACCTTTCCGCTAACCTGTCCTGTGGGACCCTCGCCATGTGACCCTCATGTCCATGTGACCCTCATGTCCATGCTGTCTCTGGAGGAGCAGATAAGAGACAAGATCTCCTGTAATTTAAAATGAACCAAAGCTTCCTCCCAGTTTCTCTTTAAGCTGAATTTAACATCAGTTTATCATCATGAAACAAAAGAATAAAGTGGAACAAGAACTTCTATCTTCTATTTCTCTCTCCTTTTAACTTCTCCGTGCCCCTAAATAAAAGAGACAGACGAATACGCTGCAGCCGCCGTCATTGACCCCCCCGCCCCCTCCCCAAGACCAGATCTCTCAGCATCACAACACTCAGGCTGACTGAGTGCTTCCAGGAGAAATAATAATTAAATTATGAAAATAATAACGCGTGTTTGGAGCATCGGTTTGGAGGAGCGTCCTCCGATCCCCTCTCATATGTGAGCAGACAGTGTCTCTCTCTCTCTCTCTCTCTCTCTCTCTCTCTCTCAGTCGCTGATCGAGCGAGCGGAGCGCGCCGCATGACAACCCACTCAATTAACATAATTCACAGCCCAAGTCCAACAGAACCGGTCGGGCTGATTCGGTTCCGGTTCGGTCTCAGGTTACAACTTTAGCGCTCAGCCCTGCAGTACCACATAAAGGCGGAACCACTTGGTAAATGTGGAGGACACTCACTCTTACAGATTTGGATGCTGTGCTGGGGCCGCCGTTAAATAAACAAAACTACATTCCACTATAATCGATTATGGCGTACTCTTCTACGATGCAGAATCGTTTATGTCCGCATCCCGACGCCGCGATTATTTGATTATTTTCCTCCGCTCTAGACCTAACAGCCCGTATCAGAGGGCCTGGTACCCCATACTCCCGGAGTACCCCTCACAGGGCCCCCGAGGGACGTGGTCAAACGCCTTCTCCAAATCCACAAAACACATGTAGATTGGTTGGGCAAATCCCCACGCACCCTCCAGGATCCCCCTAAGGGTATAGAGCTGGTCCAGTGTTCCCAGGACGAAAACTACATTGCTCCTCCTGAATCCGAGGTTCAAAAATCCAACGGACCCTCCTCTCCAGAACCCCTGAATAGACCTTACCAGGAAGGCTCAGGAGTGTGATCCCCCTGTAGTTGGAACACACCCTGCGGTCCCCCTTTTTAAATAAGGGGACCACCACCCCGGTCTGCCAGTCCAATGGGACTGCCCCCGATGTCCACGCGATATTGCAGAGCCGCGTCAGCCAACAAAGCCCCACAACATTCAGAGTCTTAAGGAACTCCGGGCAGATCTCATCAACCTCTGGAGCCTTGCCACAGAGGATTTTTTTAACCACCTCAGTGACCTCAGCACCAGAGATTTGAGAGGCCAACCCAAAGTCCCCAGACTCTACTTCCTCACTGGAAGACGTGTCGGTGGGATTGAGGAGGTCTTCGAAGTATTCTGCCCACCGATCCACAACGTCCTGAGTAGAGGTCAGCAGCACACCGTCACCACTATAGATAGTGTTGGTAGTGCACTGCTTTCCCCCCTGAGGCGCCGGATGGTGGACCAGAATCTCCTCAAAGCCGTACGGAAGTCTTGCTCCATGGTGTCACCAAACTCCTCCCATGCCTGTTTTGCCTTGGCGACCACCCGAGCAGCGTTCCGCTTGAACTGCCGGTACCTGTCAGCTGCCTCTGGAGTCCCACAGGCCAAAAAGACCTGATAGGACTCTTTTTTCAGCTTGACAGCATCCCTAACTGCCGGTGTCCACCAGCGGGTTCGGGGGTTGCCACCACAACAGGCACAGACGATCCTGCGACCACAGCTCCAGTCGGCCGCCTCAACAATGGAGGCACGGAACAGGGTTCATTCAGACTCAATGTCCCCCGCCTCCCCCGGAACATTTTGGAAGTTCTGTCTGAGGTGGGAATTGAAGCTCCTTCTGACAGGAAACTCTGCCAGATGTTCCCAGCAGACCCTCGCAATACGTTTGGGCCTGCCTGGTCTGACTGGCATCCTCCCCCACCATCTGAGCCAACTCACCTCCAGATAGTGGTCAGTTGACAGCTCTGACCCTCTCTTCACCTGAGTGTCCAAGACATGCGGCCGCAGGTCAGATGAAACGACAACAAAGTCGATCATCGAGCTGCGGCCTAAGGTATCCTGGTGCCAAGAGTACATATGGACACCTTTATGTCTGAACATGGTGTTCATTAAAGACAATCCATGACTGGCACAGAAGTCCAATAACAAAAACCACTCAAATTCAGATCAGGGAGGCCGTTCCTCCCAACCACACCTCTCCAGGTCTCACTGTCGT